GGAACTGAGCTCCGAAATCCTCGTGATAGTGCGATAGCTAAACAAACTGCGTGAATCTGAAAATCGATGTGTATGAATTATTTCTTGGCAGTGTTGCACATAACTCCGCCTGAAGTCCCTCCAGGGGCTACTGCCGGTCCCAAGACCGGATAAAGGAGGAGGGTTGGGCATGGGGTTAGCGTCCCCATCCCGTAGAAAACTAACTCGCTAATAAAACGCTAACCAGAAGAAAAAATTATTCAAACCTTTTAAACGCTGCCCCGGGAGTCAGAAGGTCTTCATTTAGAAGAACTATGACGCCTCATGATGAAAGCCGAATTCCTTCGGAAGTTACGAGACCGATGCCCCTTCTGACAACCAGAGCGACCATTTATTTAGGTACATGGAATGTTCGTAAAATATGGGACACTGTGAGAGTCTTCCAAATTGCTGCGGAAATAAGGAGATACAACCTTGAGGTGCTTGGGATCAGTGAAACACATTGGACGCAAGTTGGACAACAACGACTAACTTCAGGAGAGCTTCTGTTATACTCTGGCCATGAAGAAGAAGAAGAAGAAAATGCCCCACATACACAAGGAGTTGCATTGATGCTGTCCAAACGAGCACAAAATGCACTTATAGGATGGGAATCTCATGGACCCAGGATCATCAAAGCCTCCTTCAAAACAAAGAAAGAGGGCACTTCAATGAACATCATCCAATGCTATGCGCCTACCAACGACTACAATGAAGAAGCTAAAGATCAATTCTACAATAGGCTGCAGTCAATCGTCGAGAAGTGCCCAACAAAGGACCTGACCATTCTGATGGGAGATTTCAATGACAAGGTTGGAACAGACAATACTGGATATGAAGACATCATGGGATGACACGGACTGGGAGAAAGAAAAGAAAATGATGAGAGATTTGCAAACCTATGTGCCTTCAATAAACTGGTCATAGGCGGCACCATATTCCCACATAAACGCATACACAAAACCACATGGACTTCACCGGATCACTCTACACAAAACCAAATCGACCATATTTGCGTCAACAAAACGTTCAAGAGGACTATAGAGGACGTGCGAACCAAGAGAGGAGCTGATATATCATCAGATCATCAATTGCTGATCGCCAAGATGAAATTGAAACTCAAGAAGCACTGAACAATGGGGCGGACAACATCACAAATGTTCAATACGGCCTTTTTTCAGGATGCTAACAAACTCAACGAATTCAAGATAATCCTCAGCAGTAAGTCACAGGCCTTTCATGATCTACTCAATGAAGAAAGAACTACTATGGAGAGCAACTGGAAGGGGATCAAAGAAGCAATCACTTCAACATGTCATGAGTTCCTGGGTCACAAGAAGCACCACCACAAGGAATGGATCACTGTTGGTACACTGGATAAGATTCAAGAAAGGAGGAACAAGAAGGCAGCAAACAATACCAGCTGAACAAGAGCAGAAAAAGCCAAGGTACAAGCTGAATACAAAGAAGTAAACAAAAAAGTGAAGAGGAACATCAGAACCGACAAACGTAAATATGTGGAAGATCTAGCAACGACGGTGGAAAAGGCTGCAAGAGAAGGAAACATGAGAAAACTGTATGACACGACAAAAAAACTCTATGGAAGTCGCCGCAAAGCAGAACGACCAGTGGAAAGCAAGGAAGGCAAGGTAATCACCAACATTGAAGAGCGACAAAACAGTTGGGTAGAACACTTCGAAGAACTCTTGAATCGACCAGCTCCACTGAACCCACCCAACATCGAAGCAGCACCCACAGACATCCCAATCAATGTTGGCCCACCAACAATTGAAGAAATCAGCATGGCCATCAGACAAATCAAGAGTGGCAAAGCAGCGGGACCAGACAACATTCCGGCAGAGGCACTAAAAGCAGACGTAGCAGTAACTGCAAGGATACTCCACATTCTCTTCAGCAAGATTTGGGATGAGGAACAAGTACCAACAAACTGGAAAAAGGGGCACCTGACCAAAATACCAAAGAAAGGCGATCTCAGCAAGTGTGATAACTACAGGGGCATCACTGTTCTCTCAATACCGGGAAAATTCTTCAACAGAGTATTGTTAAACAGGATGAAGGACTGCGTAGACGACCAACTTCGTGACCAACAGGCAGGATTCCGTAAGGATAGATCGTGTACAGACCAAATTGAAACACTACGGATCATTGTGGAACAATCAATTGAATGGAATTTATCACAGTACATCAACTTCATTGACTACGAAAAGGCATTTGATAGCGTGGACAGAACAACACTATGGAAGCTTCTTCGACACTACGGCGTGCCTCAGAAGATGGTCAATATCATTCAGAGTTCATATGATTGATTACACTGCAAAATCGTGCATGGAGGACAGTTGACAAAGTCGTTCGAAATAAAGACTGGTTTCAGGCAAGGTTGGTTACTCTCACCCTTTCTCTTTCTCCTGGGGATCGACTGGATCATGAAGACGTCAACATCTGAAGGGAAGCACGAGATACAATGGACATCTAGGATGCAGTTGGACGATCTAGACTTCACAGATGATCTGGCCCTTCTGTCCCAAACGCAACAACAAATGCAGGAGAAAACGACCAGTGTAGCAGCAGCCTCAACAGCAGCAGTAGGTCTCAATATACACAAAGGGAAAAGCAAGATTCTCCGTTACAACACAGTATGCACCAATCGAATCACGCTTAACGGAGAAGATTTAGAAGATGTAAAAACCTTTACATATTTGGGCAGCATCATTAATGAACAGGGTGGATCTGATGCAGATATGAAGGCGCGGATCGGCAAAGCAAGAACAGCATATTTACAACTGAGGAACATCTGGAACTCAAAGCAACTGTTAACCAACACCAAGGTCAGGATTTTCAATACAAATGTTAAGACAGTTCTACTGTATGGGTCAGAAACCTGGAGAACTACGAAAGCCATCATCCAGAAAATACAGGTGTTTATTAACAGTTGTCTACGCAAAATACTTCAGATCCGTTGGCCGGACACTATTAGCAACAACCAACTGTGGGAGAGAACAAACCAGATCCCAGTGGAGGAAGAAATCAGGAAGAAGCGCTGGAAGTGGATAGGACACACATTGAGGAAAGAACCCAATTGCGTCACAAGACAAGCCCTCACATGGGATCCTCAAGGCCAAAGGAAAAGAGGAAGACCAAAGAACACATTACGCCGATAAATGGAGATAGACATGAGAAAAATGAACAAGAATTGGATGAAACTAGAAAAGAATGTTCAGGACAGAGTGGGTTGGGCGGCCTATGCTCGATCGGGAGTAATAGGCGTAAGTAAAGTAAGTAAGTAAGTAAGTAAGTAAGTAAGTAAGTAAGTAAGTAAGTAAGTAATTGTTGCACATTGCCCATCCGGCTAAGGTTATGCGAACAATGTCCACAGATCACCTCTTTTTTCCACAGGACTATCCACAAGACTGGGGGTTCTGTAGCAAAGATATGGTTAGTCTTTAAAGCATCAGTGTGTGAGGTATCACAACTAAACTTCTAAAGCCCTTTACAGTTCTCCTTATTTGTCAGCTACTTCCCAGAAAATCTTAACTCATCAGTCTCGATCTGTTAGGATGACACCAAACTGTGGAGAGCTATCATATTTGAAGGAGATTATTGGGAGCTTCATAGAGTCTTGATGCTAGTAAAAGACGGGGGGGGGAAATTGTTTGATATTTGACATCCAGAAATTCCATACTATGGAATCGCAAACTATATAAATGCGACGGACTGGTTATCAACTCTGAGGTCGTTGCCTATCTAGAACCTCTACAAATCCTGACCTATATTCTTTGCTAACAGAGGGCCTGGCAAGTACCAGTATCTATCACTGAGATCCAAACAAAGAGCTCGTTATTGCTCATGTCTTTCGGAGTAGGTTAGGTGTGCTGACTTTTGAGTTATTTTTGGCACTACTGAAGACCTATAGCATCTCATTTTCTGAAAGTCACGTTGCTGCGCCCGAAAGCTTTATGAATCTAGCAGAGTGGGTTAAGAAACATGCGACCATGCGTGATTTAAAATCAAGAAGTTAAAATCATGATGACCGGATTCTTCGCGTAGGTCTGTTTTCGTTAAGCTACGTGGCGGTCTGATAATGGTGAAGAACATACGTATTACCCCATATCAAACTGATAAAACAAAGTCCTCCAAACCAACTAATACACCCCTTAACGTAGCATTTCAGAAATTGGGCATCGAGGCAGGGACAATAGGATATGGTCAGAATGTTTCAGTACAGTTCGTTTTCATCTGAACTATCCTTCTAGCTAATTTGACCACAGTACCCTTAGCGAGTATTTCTCAGGTGATAATCTACATACATCTACGCAGTCAAGGTTCATCACTTATCCACCGTCATGATGTTTAGCTGTATTAACCGCCAGGGGAAAAGTTTGTTCACGTAATCGCTCATCCTACTACATGTCTCTCAATTTATTCCTCGTAACCATGACTATTTTTATCAGTAATCAATCCAAGTCAATTCACCCTCAGTCATTTCCGTATATACACATTTACACGTTAAAAGGGGGAAATTCTACTTGTTTTTCTTGCCTTGCTTTCTTCATTGCCCCGGATTCTAGTTCTGCAACTTTCGCAATGCACCCACCCAGTCTCCTGCTTTGCAACATCTAAGCAGATAGTTCTAGAAACCCAACAGCCCCGGGTTGTAATTGCCAAATTTACCAACAATGTTACTGCCACGTAGTCGTACTTCCATTTTTGGACCATTCTGAAAACGTAGTATCTCAGAGTAATTTAAAGATATGAAGTCAAAAAAGAAATTTTATTTCAACTGGATCATAACTAAGATATATACCTGGTTATCGACCTTTGCTCAGTCTTACATATGGTTCAGTAATATAATATTTTTCGGACTTGAATCGTTAGCTACCAATCAAATAATGGATTAAGAAGTGATACTTTGAGGCTTGGACATAAAATTGGACCTTGAAATAAGTTGGCCTACACGAGGACGCCTAGTTGTTTTACTGAACGTTGATATCGATTACCATGTGGGTTTGTCGCTTGTGTTTAGTGTGAGGTCTGGTTACGTATTTGTACCCCAAAGCAGTTTACATGCATTTTGAGTGTTCTGTGAACTTATTTACATTGGTGAATGTGATTAGTGTTTAGCTTTGTATCTTGATATGTATGACTGCTGTTGATAAAGGTATTAAAATAGCGTCTATAATTGGTTTCTGGGTTTTCAGTTTGTATATTCATCTTTAAATAGCCTCATGTATTTAATCAACTTCGTCCTATGACTTGTATACTGTGAGTTTTTTTGTGCATATAGTCTATACTACGGTACATTTTAGTGTGACCGACTGAGTTCTTTTTAACGTATAGTAAAAATGTCCTCATCAGATGTCAGGCCAAAAAATTACTGTCTGCCTTTCTCACACGACTTTTATCAAGTGCAACTTGTAGATATAGCTGCTCACATAATTATCGCATGTCAGTAAACATCGCCTTCAGCCCTAAACTGCTTGTTTAGGAAAATAACCTTTCAAGCCACATAAGTACAAAGTTCGGTACTACGAAGCAATCTCTCAAGTCTAGCCATCCGACAACTGGGTCTACTGTAGACATAAACATCCAAACAGCCTAAATTCGGTATATAGTGTTCATGGCAATGGCAATGATTGTTTGGTGACAATATTCCGGTAGGATTTTAAGGACCACATTGTTTATGTCAGTCTTCAATCCCAGTAACAGGCAAATGTTTTAAATATCGCAAAACAATTATACTGTACAGTAATACATGGACTGTTAGATATTACTTTTACAGACAGAACAAACGTAGCTTGTATTTATTTAGCTTTAGGTGTCTTTGAAGGGTCGCTGATACATAGTGGGACTATCAAATGAATATTACCTAGTCCTCATTACTAACAAAGAAGGTGGGTGAGTAACTTGAATGTGCTTCATACCCGTGCAACTAACCCATACTCTGGCACTAGATTTGATATCATAACAGCTGTTTAGGAAAGGCTAGTGTTGACTGAAGTACTGGTAACCTGCTTATTTTATCTCAATATTATCCTCAGTCTTCAGTTATGAGGATAGTAGGTTGGTGAACCTGTATTAATCCTGAAACATTGCTTCCGAGTGAAGGTCCAGCTTCTCCTTGAAAGTATTCACTGATGGGGCTGATACCACTTGTTCGGGTAAGGCGTTCCAGTGATTGACTACTCGATGAGAAAAACGGAACCCCACTTTAAGTTTATTAGATCGTGGTTTATGAACCTTCTTGCCATGACCTCGGAGATTATTAGTGCTGGAGGGATCAAAAAGATAAGACATATTAACACCCAAATCATAATTAAAGATACGAAATGCCAGTATAAGGCCACCTCGTGTCCTACAATACGACAAGGGGAAAAGGTTTAGGCGTTTTAAACGCTCATCGTAAGGGAGTCTAGAAAGACCCTTCACTAATTTCGTTCCCACACGCTGGACATTCTCAAGGGAGTTAGTATTCTTTACCAGACATGGGCTAGCTGCTTAGATACAGTACTCTAAATGTGGTCTTACATATATGGGATACAAAATTCGAAACTTTTTTTCGTCAAAAGATTTGAACGCTCGGCGAAGTGACCATAACTCACGAAAACCTTTGACAGCGGCTGCTTTGCAATGCGTAGTTGTTTTGAAATCATGACTTAATACTACTCCTAAGTCTTTATGCTCTTGAACGCATGGAAGCGGTTTACCCTCAATAGTATAACGGTAACTATTACCGTGACTGATGTGCATTAGCACACTCTTCCTAGCATTGATTTCTAAGCCCCACTCTCGAGCCCATCTAACTAAATCGTCTAAGTCAGCTTGAAAATCCAGAAGATCAACCGCACTTTTTATTGTTCTCCAGATTTTTACATCATCCGCAAACAATAATGTCGACGACCTAAGTAACAGCGGTAACTCATTAACGTAGAGAAGGAAGAACAGAGGGCCTAAGAGGGTGCCTTGGGGTACGCCACTTTTGACCGGCTTCCAATCGGATAGCGTTCCGTTGACCCTCACTCTCTGTCTGCGGTCACATAAGAAATTTCTTATCCACTCGTGTACACTACCTATTATTCCGAAGCTCGTGAGCTTCTGCATAAGACCTACGTGTGAAATTTTGTCAAATGCTTTGCCAAAATCTATGAATATCACATCGACAGACAGACCGTTATCTAGGGCTGCTGTCCAATCCTCTATGGCAATAAGCAAGTTAGTCAAACATGAACGCTTGTTACGAAATCCGTGTTGTTCAGGAGCTATGAGATTGTGTAAATCTATGTGGCTTAGCAACCTAAGCCCAATTATCTTTTCAAGTAACTTATCGACTATGCTAGTTAGACTGACAGGTCGGTAGTTAGATACTATCTGTCGCTGACCGTCCTTAAATATAGAACTGACTATAGCGTCCTTCCAATCTCTAGGGAGTTGAGCGAGTGAAAGGGACATGTTGAAGAGTGTCGCGAGCGGTTTTGAAATAATGTCCGCAAGAGATGACAGCAACCGTGGATGTAACCCATCAGGGCCCGGTATCCTACCAGGTTTGTTGTTAGTTATCAACGAAAGGACAGTTTCCTCAGTCACCTGTACAGATTCAATGGTTGGTATCTCGGTGTGAGTGGGACAAGTATTTGTTACAATAAACGTAGAGTAGACTTCGCTAAAATAGTCTTAAAAAGTCTCAGCTTTTGCTCAATCTGATTCAGCTAGTAAATCTGAATTTTCGTGTAACAGGAGAATACCATCACTACGTTTCATTCGCCGTTTAACATACGAAAACATTCGTTTCGGACAAGTACGGCTATCATATACTAACTCGTTCGTAAGTGGTACGGGATTTGGCTATGGTTTTCTTACAGATATTACGGAATTTTTGGTACTCACGCTTAAATGGTGCATGACCTGTCAGCAAGAATAAGTCCCAGAAATGTTTCCTACGCTTTAACAGCTTCCGGGTTTCCTTATTAATCCATGAAGGGCAATGTGATAGCTTACTTGTTGACCATGGAATTAACGGCGACGTTACGGACTCAAATGAAGCCTTAAACTTATTCCATTCATCTTGGATCAATCCATCCGCGTCGACCGACCAATCAGTCGAGATAGCACAGTTTCTGATTGCCGGAATATTGGCTCGCCAGATATTGGGACGGGGTGGAGCAGATACGAATTGTATACCATGTGTCCTAAACTTAAAGTGAATTACAACGTGATCACTGTTCACTAGTGGGGGGAGGTGCTGAATATCAAAGACATCCTTACAGTGGTGGGTGAGGACGAGGTCCAGCAGTGACGGATCATGATTGAAATCAATATGTGTTGGCTTTGTGATACATTGTACAAGCGCACACTGAATAACGGTAGATAAAAGGTCGCTATCGAAAACACTACCTGCAGCTGTAAGCTCTATCCAGTTGATATGCGGTGCGTTGGAGTCCCCAATGATGAGAAAATATTCTGCCATACTCCAAGAACAGATGTGTCTTAGGATAAAGTCGTCAGCAAGACAAAACAGACTACGGTATATTCCCCCTATAGTCACTAACTCATTTCTAGATTTAATCTTACAACATGCAGCCTCACATGTGCCACTGATATGAGCCTCTGATATGGTTAATTGTATACGAAAGTGATCCCTAAAATATAATATTATACCTCCCCCTTTGCGACTTGAAACTCTATCACTTCTAATAGAGATATAGCCTGCAATGAAAGGAGAACAGTCTATATCTACGGTGAACCAAGTTTCTGTAACAACGATTATATCGGGACATAATTCTTCCACCATCAGACTTAGCTCGGACGTTTTCTAAGACAACGAGCGTTCGTGTAGCACACATTTAAGGTGTTTTGGCAATCAATCGTTCTACCCATACAGGCCTCGGAAGCATGGGCTTCCAAGACCCGACTACCCGAAAACCCTTAGTGGTAAGGTTTTATTTGCGAGTCCTCAACTCCGTAAGAGCATTCTTCCGCTTGATTCGATGCTCAAGCGGCCAATCTGGTCGAATACGGATATTTGAGTCACGAGTTTTTAGTGCATTTTTCAATAATATGTTTTTCTTCAAAACTCCCGAGAACCAGCTTCAGGATTCTTCTTGGTTGGGTCTCGCCTCCAACGCATTTACCAATTCGTATTACTTTTGTAATGTGTCCCTAAAACCTCTTCAGGTAGTACATTTCTTATCATAGACTCCACTAACTGCAGGTCATGTGCATGTCTTCTAGCAGGGTTGTTGACTTTCGACTCCTCTAGATTCCAAATAATTAAACTAGGGAGGGGTTTAGCTTCTTTTGAAACTGTGTTCACAGCTTTCGACCGTGACGTTAGATCCTGTATTTTAACTACTGGTATCTTACGATTAGATTTTATTTTAGCAGAGTCCTGGGAGTCGAGCGAGTGACTCACAACAATGTTAGACGAAGCTTTACTTTGGGACTTTGGCGGATTGGTCTTAGAGCCAACCAAAGACTTATCAAGTAAACAGTCATTAGTTTTAGCTGTTTTTCGTACTCTTCTGCGTTTTCGCGTCATCCATTTTCCATTAGTCGAAACATCTACATTAGAACAACTCGGGACAGTAATTGTCTTATCTGGATCACAAGTCGCAGCTGTAGCAATATGGCCACCAGCGTCAACGAGGTGTCACTGATCGTTTCGGGGAAAAACGTTTAACTGCGGGTCACACAAGTAGATGTCTGGCTTGCGCCGTGACAGCACTTACGACACTAAGGCAATCTTCGTCATCAGTACCAATGTTACCAGTACGGCCCTCATCAACCTCCTTATTAGCTAACATCGGGAGGCTAACTGCTTCCTGAATGAGTAATGTTTTGCTCAAGCAACAAAGACTACAAAGCCAACGAGAGTTGGATTTTGAGCACCTTTTATATGCAGTGGGGCTTAATCGGGTGCACATCATATGGAACCACTTATTACACTCATCACATTGCATCCCTGTCTCCGCGGTAAATAAGCAATATGATTGTCCACATTTATGAGCAGATCTAGCCATCTTGAAAATCAACTACAACGGTGACGCAAACAGGATATGTAAAAGGATTCTCAAACCTTAATTAAATAAATCAATTAAAAGTCGACCAAGTATGCTTCGACGCAATAAATACACAAAAGCAAAATCGAGACACTCAATATAATATCTCTTCAACTGGGGTAGATGCAATTAAAGTGTAAACAGTAGTTTTGATGCGTAATTTACGACCAAAACAGTTTATTAACCCAACGAAAAACAATACCACTATCCTTTTAAATAGAGCGTGAAAAGTTATTCCCCTAAAATAATACTAGTTCTCGGTCAGCCAAGTGACCTGAAGGCGTATCATTACCACGCCCGCACAAACTACAAGGTAAGAACATCAATAAAAATAAAATATACCACGGTAAGAAGGTAGGTAATAAGTGAAGAAAGAGTTAAATACTTCTATGAAGTTAAATTGAAAATTAACCTTTCATCAAAAGTTCCCACCGATTCCTGTCGCATCGAATCCCAGACACAAAAAGTTAATTACAACGTAACTTCCATTAAGTCGAGAACTCTGTAAAGCAATCTAATGTATTGGCTTACTATATACTATCCAAATTAACCCGTCTTCTGTAATCATATATCGAGATGAATTTTGATTAGATATGAGAAGCACAGCCTGTTTCCACTTGTTTTAGACAGATCACTAACACAAATACTGATAATTTATTGCAACTCAATATACTGATCAAAAGGGAGTGACCTGATTTATTCGTATGTACTTCAATCTCTACTGTTTCAACAGAAACTAACGTAGTTATCTGCTCTCTTAAAATCGAGTCTCATCGGTGCCATGATGTGTATAAGTTGGTAAGTATTAAAGAAACAGGATTTCTCTATCAGTGTACTAAAGGCATGTATTTTGAACATAATCCAAGGTGCCAAGGATGACTTTCAGCCGGTAGATCATAAGTTCATATCCCGATCCAGCTAAATCATTCAAAACAGGCGAGTAGAATCATCAGCCCAGCTCAAAGCTGGGTCTGTTACTTTCCTATTATCTGTACTGTTTCTGAATAATTTTCATGCTTTTCTAATCATGCAAACTAAGTTTTTTACGGACGAATGTTTTTCAAACAATTTTGTAACCTAGCTCATTGCTGTCTTATTTAGGTTCGCGTGAATAATCATGTAAGTTTCCTCGAAGCTGCAGGTTTCGCTCAAGATGGGGGAAATGGTCTGTGGATATCATAAATAGATGGATCGTCCGATTTTCAAGTTAAGCTATCGGCTTGTTTTTCTTGTCACATTCTTAATCACATTCGGTAGCTGTTTGGATTCAAATTCACCTACCCCCTCATGTCTTAGTATGTCAGGTATGGTAATCCACTTTATTATAATTGCATTCCTTAGAACGATCGAAATGGAATAGATCTTTTCACTTTAACAACCAGGAGCTCCGTCTAAAGTTGGAAGTCACAAACCGATCGTCGCATTGGATTGTCAACTACATATTTGAGATATTGGCACGTGAAAGACTTGGCTATCAGTTTATAGAATTTGTCAAACAGGATATGGATCATCCTAGACTAGCAATTAGTAGATTAGATTGCAAAGATTCTAAGTAAGTGAAAAAGTATGTGATTGAGTCTTGATCTTTAGTTTTGTTTTCTATGCGAATTCACCGTACACGGTCATAATGAGATTGTGCGTAACTCAGATATTAGGGTTAAACGTATTTATATATCCGATGAGTGTGAACATCTCATGTGCTCAGTATTTTGCTAAAGAAATGTATCGTCATGAATTTAAATTCCAACATCGTGTTTCTTTTTCACTAAATCCTAAACAACACTTACTGGTTTGTTGCACAACCGACTCATGTTCCTATGTACATAAGGAGTGTAACTATATATATTGGGATACATGTGGTGGGAGAACGTAAAGATACCACTTTCTGGCGTAATTCACCGAAAGAATATTTGAGTAATCCGGATGTTTCGATAGTAACTGGTTGACAAGACGTACCCGGTATTTGATAATGGGTCTCCCCGAGCACTGATAAACTGCGTGATGGACATAAATGTTAAGAGTCTTAGAGTGCCACGTGGTAAGGTCATATGGTACTTTAGAATACTGTGTTCATAATTCATGGGTAAATGATGTGTAGCTCGAGATACCTGGCGATCAGAATTCACAACCTACTGTTTTAATTGTGAAAGGCTAACATCGTTCTTATTTTTTAATAGTTGGTACTTGCTGACATTTGTACAGTAGACTTTCATGTACATCCACTTTTTACACCACAAATTGCTTAGTCCAGATACATTCGTTGCGATGTTTTCCAATTAAAAGAATATTTCATGCGCATAGGTACGCGTCAGGAAAACAGTTGTGTGTTGTGCAGATTTCCAAGTTTAAATTTCACTTCCTGCAGTGCTTACACCCTGATAATATTGTTAATCCATTTGCAAAGTGAATTTCAAATTCATCGTCATTCATATCTATGCCTAAGCGTTTCAACGATTTTGCGAATTTTTTGGGACGCGTTACAAAATCTAACATCGTTTATTTAAGTTACTGACAACTATTAGTTCCTGAAGTTCCTTTTGAACTTAGTACTTTGAAAGGCTAACTGGATAACCGGTTGTATGAGCCTGTTCAGGTTTCAAGCTTCTTGTAAAGAGGATTGTAAGATTATTGTGTTAGTAGTCAAGTAGATGCATACGTATTTGGGTGCCCTTCTGTACAAATGTTGTGTTTAAATAAAATTAGGTGTAAAAATTTTGTTTCTAAGCTATCTGAGCATGTGAAAAACTTTCTTCATATACTTGTTGTGTTAACTCATATAAATAGTTAACAGAAATGTAATTTCCGTTTGGTTTAACACAACCTTGATGATAATTTCCATATGATCCGTTGCTGATGATAAGTATTGTCCTATGATTTCACACGAACTGATTTTTCCATTCTTTTAAATGAATTATCCCTGATGCTTTGTATCCTAGTTTTGAATATAAATACGAACTCGTTTATTTTGTACGTGAATACCATGGAATTGTTATTTTCAGCTGTTACAAACTACCAGATGTTCACATAAATCTTGAATTATGGCTATCTTTGGGAACGATAACAAGTTCTTGGGTCCCAAATAATAGAGTGATCGATAATGGACCATTAGGTCCAACTAACCGATGGGCTATTTCATCAAGGGAAGAGTTTATGTCGCAGGTCTCGGCATTGACAGAGGTTTGTTGTGTGCATTAATTTTACGTTTTACGTCTTGGACGTAATGTGGTATTTTACAGCAACTAAAACGTTTAAGATGTAATTTAATACTACATTCTATTGGGAACACATTTGATATCTTTTTATGATTATTTCGTCAAATTATATCTAAATCAAAACGTTTTGGCAGTGATGCTCCAGAATTATCCAGTTATTTTGAAATCGTGCGTGGAACTTTTAGCTGACTTCATCGTTCGTACTTTGATTCATGTTAAACAACAGACAAGTATGGCGATAACTTTGGAGTTTCAGCTCTGTTGCTTGTCTTATCTCAAAAATCTGTATTTAAGATCCTAGTGAATCACCGCAGATTCATTCACTGTCTCTGTTCGTAAAATGTCCTATGTGAGCCTTCTCAGGACCCTATGGAATCACCATCCAATCTCTTTATTATCAGCTACACTGAACACCAGAAAACGGTGGTATTATATATACCAACAGACGAAGTGGTTTCACCAGAGCAAGAATGAAGTATCATGAGAAGCAATGACTTTCTTAATCTCCACTGACGGTTTGTGGCTCAATTAAGTAATGACGACGATCTGCGTCCAATAGATATTTTGATGCTTGCTATGGACTTCAGTACTGAGGTTGGGGGTCTACGCTTCAGACGAAAGTCGTTTGCATTATTGTGCACAAGACCATCACTTTCTGGAGCACCTGTCTAGATTTTGATTATGCTCTGGTACACGCCAGATTCATCTTGCGTTTCAGTCGTCAACACAATCAACTAACACCTTGATATGGTGGTTGGGATCGCTTATCGTGATGAACCCATCTAGCCATATTGGATGGAACACTCATTCTGTTGGGTCTTACCATTTCGGGAAGGTCGGTTAGAGAGCGGCAAATCTCAAAGCTGCAGCGTAATGTCCGAGGACTAAGTCATACCGTCAACTGTATGGGGGGTATTAAGCCAGTTAGATGTCTTCTTCAGAGTTAGCGTCTACGGTGACGCTGTCTTCTCGTAACGAATGAGTTGGTAGAAATAACCACGTGAGCAAGTTTGAAAAGACCATACCTAATCTGAAGCGTTGGAGGGCCTCAAGATCTGATTGATTACCTAGAAATAGAAAAACAACCAATATTGTATCGATGCTGATATCGGTATTACCTTTAGTTCAAACTAGAAAGTCATTTGGCGTTTTTGCCGGTATACTGTCCGTATGAGTTGATTTCTAATTGTATTTGCATTAGCAGGTTAACCGAAAGAACAGGAATATAACCGTGAAGATTAAGAGTTCCAACTAATGTTCCAGTTTGTTAAGTTTGACATGGTTTATTTAGTTACGGGGAGATTTTCTCGACCTCATTATTGTTTACCCGTGATAGGAACTAATAAACTTTTTAATACATATGAATGTTTATCAGAAATTCATTTAATACGTAAAATTGATGACAGTTGTGGGAATTTTGAACAGATGACTAACAGTTGTTTGTTAAATATGAGTAGATCCATGAGAGACATGCTCTAGACTAAGTGTTTTGGTGTACAATAAACCAATTATTTATATATTTACCGGCTGATGGTGCGTGCATACAATTTAGTCGCAACTATGGAGTTTAGCATAAGACATAAAACGATTTATTTGAAATAGAGTGATTAAAAATTGTTGAAATCGGCAAAGCTCATGATCCACAAACACAGGTGATGTGATGTTACACGATGCTTTCGGCTAAATAGATCTTTACAAGGTGATAATTCGTGAGTGATGCTCATGTGATTATCAGGAAGAACGTAAGTTGTAACCAAGTGGAGTACAACACCAAAATGTCTAAATCGACAGCCACTGTTAGCTGGTTTAAGAGTAAGTTAAAAAAAGTTCGCGGTGGCCAATGTAAAGTCGGTGATTCTTGGTTTGAATATTTTAGTACGTACAGGCTATAACTGCGATTGCTGGACGGAAATGTGTGACATGGCTCAAGATCTGTATTCATTCTTTGTCTTATTCTAGACATTGAATCTCAGTATCCTTTTATACATACAATTTTTATTTCGTCTTTTTGAACCACATTAAGTGTTTTTACTTCCTCATTATTCTTGCTACCCCAGTTGTTTTGACTTCTTCAAAATTGATCTTTTTAATTTCGTTTTCATACACATAGTTCCCTTTATTATCTTAAATAGAGCAAGAACAAAGATTGGTGCAGAATAATATGAATTCACTTTATTTCGTTAGGTTCTCATCAGCTGCTTACAACCTAAATTATTTGAAATTCAACATTAATACAGATATTGACATATTTATACGTAAGAGTGTGATGAAGGATTAATACATGTGTATGATGATGTAGCAAAGATTCAGATAGAGTTAATGAGCTCATAAAATGTTTGATTCGAATAAATAAATAAAGTTTGAGAGGGGAAGTTCTGGAACATTGAAATAGTGATTAGAACTCATGAAAATAGATTAATGGTAATAAAGAAAATATGAATTGAAATCAATCATTTATGTATGATGTAATTTATATTTCAGAAAGAGTTGCAATAATGACGTAATAAATAAATAAATAGGAGCAAATTAATAGAAAGAGTGGGGGTTATTGTTACCAGGGTAAAGAAAGATTTATTACTGTCTCTTTTTGTATACATAGATCTGTTTTTAAACGTTTGATTGCTAACGTTTCAGCGAATTTCAAAAGGTTCGAGTTTGATTGTTTGTTAATCACCTTGAAGGACTTCAGTATATCAGCTTTATGTCCTGTATCAAGGAGATGTCTTGCGATAGCATTGTTGAGTGCGTTCAATCCATTTAACCTTAAACTTTTCGGAATATGTTCTTTGAATCGGACGTAGGCTCTCCTTTCTGTTCTACCAATGTAACTGCTTTGGCAGGTACATGTAAATTTGTATACACAGTTGGTGGTAACATGAAAGGGATACCTGTCGACCTTTGATTGTGTCGAAGAACATGTAGTTTTGGACAGGACAATCAATTTCGCTGCAGGATAAGTTCTTGTCAGTGCAGTTTTTAGTCTCATATTGATTGATCCTGTGACATCGTCACCTTTGAATTGAAGTTTAATGAAAATAGGCTTTTTATTTGCTGTAATTTCTTTCGGCTTTTTAACTTCACATTTGCTGTATTCCTCAATAAATTTCAGTGGGTATCCGTTATTCTTTAAACATTTTTTAACATTCATAACTTCCTCTTCTAGTGTATCGGAAGTACATATTCTTTCTGTTCTGTGAAACAGTGTTTTGACCAGTGCCTTTTTGTAACTTATTGGACAAAAGCTATTGAGATTAAGATAACTACCATTCCATGTGTCTTTCTTATAAACTGAACGTTGAACTGTACCATCTTTTCTTCTTTTCATCGCGATATCGAGAAAATGAAACTTGTTTTCTTTTTCATGTTCCATAGTGAAATGGATATTCGGATGTGCTTCGTTGAAAAACTCTAGCAAATTTGTTGCATGTTGTTTATTATTACATACGATGAAGGTATCATCAACATACCTAGAATAATACGTTATTTCATCAATCGCTCGTTTGAGTTTGGTTCTTTCGAGGTTAGCCATGAAAATATCTGCTAGGACAGGACCTAACGGACTTCCCATCGCTACACCATCGGTTTGTTTGTATATGATATCGTTGAACTGGAACTGAACATCTTTTGTACAAATGAGTAATAGTCGTTTGAATTCTAGTACTGGTAGAGGTAGGATGTCAGAATGTTGACAAATTATGTCTATGGTCTCAAGAAGTGGTATTTTTTAAACAAAGATGTTACATCAAAAGAAACCATAAACTTATCGGCAATATTTATGTGATTCATGCTGTCAGCAAATACAAATGAATCCTTTAGTGTATAGGTGGCTAATCGTTGACGCACTGGTTCTAACTTATCTGCCAACCATCGTGCAACATTGTGGTATGGTGAATTGATCATTGACAAAATAGGTCTAAAAGGATAACCTTGTTTATTTATTTTCGGTAATCCATACATGTGGGGCAAACGAGACCCACGAGGTCGTAGATTATTGTAAGTAGAGTAATTACGTCATTATTGCAACTCTTTCTGAAGTTTAAATTACATCATACATAAATGATTGATTTCAATTCATATTTTCTTTATTACCATTAATCTATTTTCATGAGTTCTAATCACTATTTCAGTGTTCCAGAACTTCCCCTCTCAAACTTTATTTATTTATTCGAATCAAACATTTTATGAGCTCATTAACTCTATCTGAATATTCGCTACATCATCATACACATGTATTGATCATTAATCACACTCTTATGTATAAATATGTCAATATCTGTAATAATGTTGAATTTCAAATAATTTAGGTTGTAAGCAGCTGATGAGAACCTAACGAAATAAAATGAATTCATATTATTCTGCACCAATCTTTGTTCTTGCTCTATTTAATTTCGTTTTGTCGTGCTAATACTATATGATAACTTACTGTCGACTCATTGTTAGGATTTCTCTTATTACGATTAAGTTACTGTTATTACTTAGTATTCTTTGACACAACTTCACTCGACAAGTCCCCGAATCAGAACACAATTGAACATGAACGTAATTATATAACATGTCTTTATGGAAGTATTAGTCACAATAAGAGAAACATATTTATAATTTTCTTATAAGAATATTCTAGGGATCCTGTAGCTCTGATTGGTTAAGAAATAGCCAATCAGCGTGCCCGTGCCTCCTGCACGGGACGCTTTAATCGAATTTATATCCCACTAACACATATAATCCAAGACTTGACGTTCATTATAACTGACTGACTTAAATGAATTATTGTAAAAAAAAAAGTTATTTCATGCACATTATCATTTGAATATCATTCAAATATTGAGTTTCACTAGGTTCCATGCAACTTGATACTGATTGGACCGTCCTAAAAATATGGGTAAATTCTTCATATGTACAGTAATAGTAGTATTTGATTGTAGATGTCTTTAAAGCGTGACTGTTATATAGAGGTATCAAAACGAGTAATTCTGACAGTATACATATATAGTTTAAACATGATAAGTCGACTAGTGAGACTTGTCTGACCATGTGTCACACACGTCTATCTGCTACCTACCTTGATAAACAATGCCAGCTAGCGTAAGGGTAGGCTGAAAAATACTGAGATAAAGCAGACCGAAACATTAAACTGGTTTATTCAATCGAAAGGCAAATGTCTTCGGTTCTTATGCGTTCCACGGTGAATACTAAGATTCGGATGACAGTACTGTCAATTCGAGAAAATCAGAGAATGATAAACGTACTATGTTTAAATGAAAACAAATCGCCACACTGCTTACTCGCGTAAGGATTTTTTTGTTGCATTGTTTGCACTCATGCATTTTTTTCCTTAGTTTCTCAAATAATGTGCTATTAAGTTCAATTTTCAAACGGTTATTAAAACTTAAATAAGTTTAAATGGGATTTGATGTTAATGATTAGTGATCACTCCTGTATAAAATGACCTAGTAGTTTAATATCCGTGACATTCATTACTGTTTTTGCAGCTTTATTCTAATTTTTAGCCTTCGGTATGTAAATTCTTAATTTTGCTTCGAACTACAGGGATATTCATATTTTGTTATCCATTCATCTAGATAACTTTTACGTACTGTGCATTTTCCAGTTAACTTTCTTTACAAAAAGCTTAGTTAAGATTAACACATCAATGTTTTTACAGACACAGTCTGATTGTCGTGATAAACCTTTACCAACTAATTCTCAAATTCCATTATCACAAACTCGATTTCAATCAAAATGTGATCTGGATATGTGCTATGCTTCCAAATTCCGCAATGGTAAGATTATTTCTTTCAGTACTGTAGTATTTATTAAACTTTATTATAGATCAATATCCTTCGTTCTTCCGAGTAAATACATAGACAGGCAATTATAAACTAATCTACTTCTATTACTCACTATTTATTCGTAATCAAATTAAGTCCCATTAGTTGTAAACAGCATTTTGAAAAGACAACTATCTCTCCTAACTTTACTGCCACTTGGTAAAGTAATACCATTGGTGCGCTGCATAATAGTTGTCCTGAAATTTAGCTCTATATCTTACTGACACCACAGTTGCTGTAGGTTCGTGAACGTCGAGCGTTATTTCTGCCTTCTCGTGGCGGGGGTGTTGTTTACGAAAATGAGAGGACGAAAAGCGAATGTCCGGTGCTATAACCGGATTCCAAACCAATGGTGCACATGGGCTCCAGTATCCTGAAGGAACAAATGGCGTATGAACCAGTTGTTGGTCACCGGCTTCCATGGGACTGCATCTCCTTACGATGCTCCACTGCCTTGTGGATCAGGTCGAAGGCTCGGGGTGTGGCCCCCTAAGAAAACCACCTGCTTCGGTTTGGGCACCCGGGCAGTATCACAGCCCTCACACATATCGAATGAGATTTGTGTGGCGCATATGTATTTGGTGCCTCCTCGTACCAATATCTTTGTGTTAAAATAAATAAATAAATATCTGATGAGACGTGTGTCTTATAAACACCAAACTTAAATCAACTTATATTACGAGAAGAAAATCTGACATGATCTGGTATCAAATTGAGCTGTAAAAAGATTAGTTATATATATACATATTTCGCGATTCTCCAGGGCCAGTTTCGTTTCGAGCACTGGCTTGTGATATTTTAAAGAATGATTGTTTCAAAACAACAGCGTTAAACTACTGATCTGAGTACATAAGTAGTAAGCTCATCTGACACTTATTGTAAGGCTACTAAATTCATCTAATATAAACAGAAGCAATAAATATGTCAATTATTGATGCCTTACTCCAAAAGCTGCCAGACTATTTCCTCTAAGAACACCAAAACATTGGAGTCGTGATTCAGTGGCTAATATTATATCTCTTGACCAGTGGCCAAAATCACGTAACAAGCCACTAATCATAATTCTGATTCTAATTTGTTCTATTAATTACCCTATAGCTTAGTGTATGTGACTTGGCCAATTACACGCCCGGCTAGCACCATCGACGTTGGGTCGGCAGCCCTCTGTTCGCTTGCTCAGGTGTCCAGCATTTATGTATCTACATTTAAAACAGACGTTATTTATATACAAACTCAATGGACTGCATCACACCATGAAATGAATAGTAATAATTATACATGAATAAACCAAAGTGGCTATGATAGGCGAGATTAGAAAACAAACTGGAACAAATTAGGAATAGTAAGTCGTATGACAATAGTTCGTGAGTCAAACGAAAACGTATGATGAATGGGATATGTAGGTAAACTAACTAGCCAATAAAATTGTAATTAATAATAGTCTGAAGAAGTCTGTTTCAACTTTCACAATACCTATTTCTTCAAAACAGTTAATGCGTTAGAATTTCGGCCACCAAGCTCAAACCCCTTTTCACTTGCTTCAGTTTTGGGACCTATGTAGCCTTCACTCATTGTGTGTGGCTCATAAACAAGTATCTGATGAATGAGTTGATTATTTATTTTTATTATATCAGTCTAAACTCGAAATATCCACCCACGTGACTTTAACGTTAAGACGTACAATGTCTCAACTGAAACTATCTGAATAAGTCTCTTTGTAATAATGTTAGTTTGTAGCTTGTTTTGAGTTAATATTGGGGTTCATTTTCGGCCGTAAACTTGACTGATGTTGTACATTTAAACAAGCAATTATTATCTGTTCGGTTCTATCTGTTCCTACTTTTGTGATTAACATTAATTTCTGTACTAAAGTGATTTGTTTTTAATCTTCAATGTCTTACGAAAAGAATTTTGTCGTTGATATACCCTTTACGGCCACTGGACATTAACATCTGATTTGTTTTACCAGGAAATACTGCAGTCTCGTAACCTTGAAATCACTATCTCAGTTACCAGTAATTTTAACACCCCGAAACATATCTTGAGACATTTTGTTAAGTTTGGTATAATCTTTTTTTATTTTGAAGTTTCACCATAATTTTAATTATATTTCCACATCATTTATTTGTTAGAGTTCATCCGTTATTTCACTGGATCAGAAATTCCATCTAAAGAGTTTGAACACTTTCCAAACTTACACTCTTCATCTTCTGTCATGTCAATTATTAATTGGTATCCACATGAACTTGGCTCTCCTCCCTTACCTTCGGGACTACACTTTTTGGGGAAGAAAAGCATTTTAAACTCAACAGAAATAAAAACTGCGCTTGATAAGATTTATCACTGTAGTCGGCAATATTCAGGCACCTTATCTTACCTTCAGAATTCAAAGAAGTCATCTTTTTGCCAGTTTGAGTCACAGCAAGCTACAAAATTATCATGGGCCAAGCTAAAGAGCACTGTGCCTCTCATTTATCAATTAGTTGACCGGATGCATTTTTCCCAGTCGGAGTATGAAGATCTACTGAAATTAGTAAGTGCTTTTCTTAGTAGACTGAATTTTGCTAGGGGAACTTTGAAAAGCATACTTTCATTTTTCCTTTATTCAATATTTCCAGGCTAACAACTTAGATCCGAACTCTGGCCAGGATCTACAGTCTCAGTATAGAGATATTGCTTGCAAATGGCTTCGTTTGTCTCCGACTCGTTGGGCTTCGTGGACAAAAGGTTGGAATAAAAAGCTAAATCTTACGGTTGCCGGACTTTTCGCTTTCTATGGGAAATGGGTAGTTTCGAATTTAGACCATGGTAAGAGTTTCTTCATTATACTCAGTCTTCTTCCATCCCAGTCGTGTTTTTTTTGTTAAATCACTGTCAGGTCACACCTTGAAGGTGAAGCTGATACATTTAAACCCACAAATTATCACCAATGTACCCAGTTTTATACAAAATATATCCGATTATTATTTGTAAGTTTCAGTTAAAAAACTAAATAACTGTAATTAGAATAGACTACTTAAGTTTCAGCTAAGAAGTTTTTATTCGGTAGTTGTTTTACATAGTTCACAAGAATTTCATGTGGATCTTTATTTTGACGTTGTAATCGAATGTTGAGGAAAATAACGATGCTTTCCAAGTTTATGCACCAGCTTGTAAACCACATTTAGTACGTATGTATTTCCGGTGCTACTTAGTTCACTCCGGCGGAAGTGGTTTTTAATCTGTTCACTTGATAATAGAGAAAATATAGCAAAGACAGATGAGTCATATCTTTGGTTATGATTCAAGTCAAATGCTATGGTTTCTAACAACTTTTTGCACTATTTCCTTAGCATTATTTCCCTGTTTCCTGACATTTCTGTTACCAAATATAATGAACACAATTAATATGAATACAACACTTGATGTAGGATTACTTTTAGTGCAGATGCTATTAGTCAGTACAGATGATACAGTATTGCTGGGATACAAATATAAATACCGTTTTTATTATAATTGTACGGCTTGTTTTTCTCAACAGAGGGGACATCTTAAAATTTGAACAGGCAATTAATATCAACTTATCATTTTTCTGATACATTCAAGGATATTAAATGTTGTTTCGACAATTCCCATTTTTTTATGCGTTCATCTTCATCGTTTGTATTTATAACTACTTTATTAACAGTTTATATAATTTACTGACTGTTACAGTGATCTAAATTCAACATCTAAATTGACTATCTCAAACTTGTATTCTCCAGACATTTCAGTGTGATGGTATATTATACTTTAAAATTGTTTTTACCACTATTTCCCACCAAGATTCAAAAGATTTTAAATGCAGTCACTATAAACCCAGCCTTTGTTCCTACTTAAATGGCTTTCTTCAAAGTGGACCTTTTATATAATTTTTTTCTTGGAAGGTGGTCGTCCAGAACAGTAATATTTTGTCTGAGTGGTGGATTAAGCGTACTGATTTGACATCTTAATAAGTAATCATATCTTGTTACTTCATAATGTAAGTATTAAGCTTTGTAGTTATTATTATCATCCCGATTATTGACATAATGTAACCGGTTTCAGCGTGTTAGCACTCCAACGAAGTTCATTGCATACATCATTTTCTAGGTAATATGGCAATTGGGTTATTGTTAAACAACATGATGATCCACTACTATTTAAAACTGATTGACATTTTGAGTTACAATGTGCCATACCGCTACAAATTTAAAAATTGATATTTTCAAAACTATATTTCTGAGAATTAACTTTTTTAGAGAAGTCTCAGTCAAAATTATTGCATATTTATATTTCCGTTAATGAGTTACAGCGAATCTCTAACTATGAATAATCACCGCACTTATTAGGCTTTATAGTTTTAAATCCTACTTCTTGTTAGCTAATCATTGCTTACACCAAGCAAATGTTCTAGGTAATTCTTCTATAGATTATGGTGAAATGTATGCACGTTTCATCACAGTGACATTTTCAATTGACAAATTCATGATCACTCCTTAATAATGACATTACTTATGTCTTGCCGAGTCATAAATGTATTTGATGAACCTTTGGTATTCAAATTACTCATTACATTTCCATATTTTTCAATTATCTTTCATAGTTGCTGAACAAGCTATTAATTTTGTCAACCATAACCCTGATTACTTTAGCAATACTGAATATGCATTGACGCTAGACGTTCGTAATCTTACCTGTTCTCAGGACGTTGTATTAAACGATTACTTTGATTTACTGACAGCTTCAAAAAATAGGAAAATTATTGGAGTGATCGGCAAGTAGATTTTTTTTTTGTTTATTTTATGTGAAATATACATCTAATTACCTATTTGTTGTCATATGGCTCAATTTTTCCTTTCACTTTTATCGGTTTGGTGGCAATTAATAATGCTTGTATTAATACACTGTTTTGTGCTTTGAAGTACTGCTTGTTAGTTTTTTTATTATTGCAAATTACACTATGATCTGTACGTTTCCAAGACATCACAAGACATCATTAGTCTTTCATTAAAATAGGCGGATTAGAATGCTTGAACGGTATTTCCAAATGTTGTGGTATTTGCAAATAAACAGCTGCAATAAAGTTGTGTAACTGACTATTACAGTGGTTCAAGTTGCTACATTCTCTATCAGTACAAAACGGGAGATATTACAAATAAATAAAGCACCAGTAAAAGTTCAGTAAATAAAATTGTTTTGTTCAGGTAAAATAGAGATTAGAGTAAATAGGTCTGTTGTGACTGATTACATTATTTCACCTATCCGAAGTACCGTGTTTTGTCGGAACTCATTCTTAAATAAACAGGCATTCACTATTTTAACTGGTCTCAAATCATTAATGGTTATGGTAGTCTTCTTTTTAAGCGTATCTTTGTTTTTACGTCATAGATATTTGTGTTCGTTATCATATTTATTCTTTCTGATTAGTTTTGGTAAAAATAATCATTACTCTATGTTCCTAAAACCATCTTTTTGTAAGTAAACCCAAAAAATTTAAACGCACCCCACACTGAGAAACCTTACATAAAGTAAATCACAGTTTTGAGCAGGATCAAAAACAAGGTAAAATGTCAGATTTGACACCTGAACAATTTTCAAACCATAGAAATTAAAACTTGTCTGATCAATATTTAAAATATCCGGTTGTTGAAATGGTTGTTTACACCATCTGGTTCTTGAAAACATTTACCTTATGCATAAATTTTTAAATTTTCTTGTCACTTAGATTGCTTTAGTTCCTTTTAGATTGCTTGAATTTACAACTATTAAAATGATCCGCATATCACTTGTTTTTCACAAACTAGCTGCTCTGTGTTCGGATTCAATAGAACCAGTTGTTGAGGTAGCTAACATGCGTCGCCAGATTGTTGTTAGTCCAACCGTTGAATCAGTCCGTTTTGCAAAACGTCATCAGTATCCGTACTTTTTTCGTACTGTTCCATCAATGACACATGTGAGGTATGTGGTTCTAGTGAGTGTTACTCAACCTAGCTTTTTGTATTTTTGTTCACCTGGTCAAATCATGTCGACTGAAATTTGATTACATACTCTAGGCAGGTTTTATGCACAGTTCAACTAAAAAGCCTATCGACGCTATTCATAAAAGTCTAACAAGGTGTCTCTTATCTTTTTCAATCTTTTGCCAAAAAGTTAGTCACGGTTACTAAATATCTCAATAAAACGCTTTAAGGGCAATGACGTAAATTTAAACTTATCATTCAATATGACATCTTAAGATATGATTCTTACCCAAGTACGAACACAAACTCGGTTAACACCTCCATAGAATCCTGAACAAGTAACTTTATCGTCTAAACCTGTAATCTACGACAAGAATTTTTTACTCAGCATTACTTATCTAGTGTAAGGTACATTTATTGAGTAGACATTCCATTCACAGTCGGTTGCGGTAAAATTTGGTCCGGTCATTCGGGTAGTATTTTGAGTTTTTTAGACATTGAATGTGATTCAGTATCATAAAGAAACCTGTACGTAGTTGCTGTATTGTAATCAGTACTGCTGTGTATTTGATTAGCGTTTAGAGTGATTTTAGCTCTCACAATACATACTCGTGTGTACCTTCATTTGTAAGGGCAGTAAACCACATATATAAAACTTCATTGTCACCTCACACTTAGAATTAACTAACGTACATTTCCTGTGCATATATATTACTAAAAACTTGTTTTCTTTTCACTGATGGGTGTTATCGTTTATTCTACATTCTATTCCCTTTTTTCTTTATTACACATCGCGAAATATAATCAGGAAATTAATTTGACTGTTTTACTTTTTTGTTTAGCTTAATCTTGATTAGATTATTCAGTAGTTGGGGTTGGCGTCGTGTTGCTGTGTTTCGTGAAGACGATCATTTCTTTGATCCTTTGATTTTTCAGTCGAATGGTATAGATCTTATTGCTGACTTTGTAATGAAGGAAAATCAACTCACATACGTTACTGTACATCAAGTATGTCATTTCCTCGAAATATAGTATATATACTTAAAGCAAATTTTATCCATTGGATTTTAAAATCTCATTTTGTGATTTTTCTCACTAAATTATTAAATACAATAAATAGGTCAACTCGTTCTTCAAGTACACCTGTATTTGAGCCACACGAATCATCAGGACTAATAGTACAACCTGTTTCCCTAAACTTATATAGACGAAACGGGATTTGAACTCGGGACCAAGTAACTAGAAATCTAACACCTTAATCATTTAGCTAATGCTAGGATCATTAAAATTACCTTCATTAAGATTCACACGATAAACAAAAACTATTATAACCTTAAGTGATTGCGTTAATCGATGGAGTATTTGTTTTTTAATTTTCCTGAAACTCAGACAATATAAAGTGTGAATATAACTTCTGAGAGCAGAGGATGAGATGAAATTTTGAAAAAAAAATTGTACATAGACAAGTGATATGTTTTAAATGTGACCCACCATGTACAGTTTTATTTGTTTATGCTAAGGTAAACTTCGTGTATTTCAGCGTATAATATTTTCCACTTAATCTGGCCAAAATGAATTGTACAAAGTTGGGATCCATAATTCAATGATCATATAATATATTAATAAAGGTCAAATTCACAGTAAAAAAAGAAAATATAGTCTAGTGTTTTCCACAATTTCAAGTTTTCTCTTTATTTTATTGTGGATGCATGAACTCAGTGGTATACATAAAGTTAACTTTTGAAAGATTAATTACAAAAATAAGAAGCTGTTTTTTTAAAAAAAAACCGATGTGACGCATCTCAAGGATATTAAAAGAAATGTCAACTATATTTACAATACTGTCTAACCATTTCATCGTCTCATAAATTCAGTAGTTTCATCCTCGACATAAGGTCAAGGATCTTTCTGAGCTTTGCTTTAGAGTTTGTTTGAGTTCAGGAAAGAATCGCTGACTTACCGAGTTTTACTGTTAGTAATTAATAATATTATGCTTTTCAAATATTGGATTTTGTTATCAGTTGCTGAAACAAGTGCATGATCTCGGGAAATGAAAAGTACAGTATAGTGTTACATTTAGTTTTTAAAGCGAAATTTATTATTAATAATAAATAATCCAAGTGATTTAAGTAGATTCGGTTTTTGGAAAATGTGTTTTGATGCTTTTGTCCATGCAATAAAAATTTTGAAGTTTCAAAACAGGTTACCTATTTCATTTATCCAGTGAAATTCAGAAAAGTTGCCCTCACTTTCATAAAGGAAGTCAAGGAAAATTACACTAGGATCACCACTAGCTTTCATTCTGAAACATGTCTGATGACGTCCACTGAACTGCACTATCTCCAGGACCCTAACCGAGGTGTCGAACGTTTTACTATAAAATGGCATTGATTCTATAAACATTTTGATGATAATTTTTTATCGTTTACTACGTATTTGACAATGATAGTAGTTAATTCCAATTATTTTAGGCTTTGAAACTTATGAACGATCGTACTAGTCGTATCTTCATGGTTGAATATTTTGCTAAAGGTACAGCCATTATATTATGTGCTGCATATCACTTAGGAATGCATTTTGATGCAGGTTATGTCTGGTTTCTTAATCCTTGGTTATCAAGCAATTGGTGGCAGGCACCTGATGTGCATCCCAGAGAATGTACTCATGAAGAAATGCATAACATAACTTCGTGGACTTTTACGGTTGGACATCAATTGATTATGGAACCATTGGCTCACAAATTTATGCCTTCTTCATTCAACGATGTGAATTTATTTGCTTTTGACTCATCGTCTCATAAGCAACAGGGCACTGGTCGACGATTCCGTCGGTATTCAACTCAGTATGCACAAGATTTGCGGATTCGTAAATTCAAGCATCCCTTATTTAATGGTCATTTTACAAATAACTATGACGATTCACCTTCAGATTCCGAGTTACAACGTTCAGTTTTTAATACGAAGAGTGAAGACGTTGAGTATGTTCATTCTTCTCATGATTACGCAATACATACATATGAATCTGTTATTGTTCTAGCTGCAGCACTTATTCACTTATTACATCAAAATCCAAGTGCTATTTCCGTTTTTGAATCAATGTCAGTTGCGGAGGCATATCGAGAGTTAGTTTTTGAAACAGACTTTAGATATACTATTTCGTCAAGATTCATTATGGATGATTCTTTTACAAATCCAGTTATTTCATTGGACACGGGTTTCCACTATGTATACCGCAAAGATGAAATTAAATCAGCTTCTCAATTACGTTTTAATAATTTAAATGAGCGTGTTGCTGATTTTTGGCTTCTTAAACAACATCAAATCAATATCACTGTTCCCATTGTATTATGGAGTTTAGACCAAGAGTTTATAAGCGACGATAATTCTATGCCTTTGAGTTCTTTAATGGATGCAGCTGATCTGACTAACTTAGCGGCTTCTGAGCGTTTTGCCCAACTAATGGGGGAACGCTGGATTAACGATGTGAATTGGGGTAATAACGATGGACCACCAGATGATGGATCAGAACATGACGATGACTGTGTGTTTGGATTCGTAAGCAGAATTTTCGGTGTGAATTGTACTGGCTCTACTGTGATCGCTACTATTTCGATTGTGCTCTCTGTAACAGTATTATGTTTAATCCTGTTTATTGTTTACTATCGACGCAAACTAAAGAAAACACAATTAAGAATTCGTCAACCATATGAAAACCTTTGTAATGAACTAAAAGATATTGATGTAAGTACACGTCACTTGTGAATCATTTTGTCATTTATTGTACTACTATCTTGATCCTAGCTACCGTTTGTTCATGTTAAAACTCATCACTGAAGGTAAATATCAAGCACCTGTGTAATTGTGTTTTGATAACTTTTAGTATACAGTCGGTCATACGTACTACACATTTTTCTAAATAGTTTTTGTTCAGAAGTAAGAATTAAGATTTTTATCTTTATCCATTTATCTAAACTGCTTCGGTTTAAGAAAACATATAGAGAATATTAAAACCACAGAAACATCCTCAAAGTATTCCCAAACGATTCAAAATGCTTCAGATAAAACTCTTCCGTCCTATCACATAGGTTTGAATATGTATATCGATTCGCGACTGCGTTTTCTGGGGTATTTTTTTAGCACGTTATGTTACATAGCGGTACAACAACGTGTAACATTCACAATGAGCAGGTTGCTCAAAAATTAAATTTTCATGTGAACTATTTCCAGATTGTTAAAATACATAATTACTACTCGTGTCACAAAGTATTGAAATGTATAATAGTTCTTAATTCTCAGTTACATCTCATTCTTCCAATCCATGCCTGAATTTATCCCAACTGTTGATTACTCAGTGGTTCCTTTTGTCATGAATGATAGGAGTAAGATTTGCACAACTGTATGTCACATAAGTTCCCCAGTGATAGTCTTTTATAAGTGAATAAAAATAGAAGAGATGTCATGATTAAGTAAATATTTATAAATCTTTAAAACGAGGTTAGATATTCAAAGTTTTCTTTTTTGTCCTTATCAGCTACATTTCACTTAACTTTGTAACTATAATAAGTCTAGTTCTGTGTTTCTTGTTACGGTCAGATTCCACCTGCCGACATAGTTTTGAATCGTCGTGTTGGTCAAGGAGCATTCGGTATGGTGTATGGCGGTGAGGCAAAACGCAATGGGCGTTGGGAAGCAGTAGCTGTTAAAGTGATTGGTAACAAAGCGACATACGAAGGGAAAACAGATTTCCTTTCGGAAGCAAAACTAATGAGAAGTCTAGACCATCGAAATGTTGTACGTTTAGTTGGTATCTGTTTGTATCCGAAGGAAAATCATCTTTATTTAATCATGGAATTTATGCTAAATGGTGATCTGAAGACGTATCTTCTATCTCGGCGTGTTTTAGCTCAACAGTACGTTTAACAGCACTGTAAACTTTTCACTTTTGATGACAGTTGTTGATTTTATACCTACTGAAAGGCATGCTAACTATACGAACATAATCGTTCCCAAAGTATGCCTCTATTCCCTATCCACTGTATTCCATCCGTCGGGCAATATATTGGTACTACTACTTCACAGATACCTTGACGTGGTGGTCGGGCTTGCCTATCGTGATAAACCAATCGGGCTGTATTGGCTGGAACAGTCATTCCTCAAGGTCCTGCCCTCAAAAGCCCTAGTACACCCTAGGGTGGGGAGAGTCCGCTCTCCCTCGCGAAATGCTGTCACATGGCCACGCGTGTACGAACACTGCCAAGGATTTCCTACTCATTGCCTTCTCGCGGCGAGGTGTTGTTTACAAAATTGAGAGGATGAAAAGCGAATGTCCGGCACTTTAACCGGGTTGGTGGACATGAAGTTGGGAGTTGGGAAACCCTGCTTTCAAACCAAAGGTGCACGTGGGTTCCAGGATTCTGAGGGAACAAATGGTGTGTGAACTAATTATTGGTCACCGGCTACCATGATACTGCCTCTACTGATGTTGTTCCACTGCCTTTTGAATGAGACCCTTAGCTCAAAGTTTCGGGGTGTGGCCCTTTGAGAAAACTATCTACATCACTCTGAGCACCCGTGCAGTATCACAGCCCATATACAAATCAAATAACTTGTGTGGCGCATATGTATTCGGTCCCTCTTCTGTACCAATATTTAAGTTTAAATAAAAAAAACAAATAACACAAAATCTCACAAAATGTCGTATGTGACCGACCACAAGAAGTTGTCCGTTAGGCCCTAATGTCACACTCCAAAGTCCCTAAGACCACCTCTTTCCTAATTTCCTTTTCACGTACCTCTAGAAAAACCCATCCACGGTGTGGGCAACCGTGGAGTGATAACCGTCCTCATACCTCTAATAGCATACAAGTTCAGTGTATTCGTAGTCAGTCTTCCTCTTTCATTTCTATTATCCCTCCTACATCGATTTTTAGCTCTGAACTTCCATTGTGGTGTAGTTAGTGAAACTATAAACAGTAATAGAAAAGATTAGGGTTTCAGGGTGTTATTCAAGGAGTATAATGGAGTGAATAAAATTTCGAAAGAAAAGGGACATTAAGAATTCAGAAGATTAGAATTTGGGAGAACATAAAGAGTGGATGCACTTGCACCATTGCAAACGATTTTCAGGCATGTCATTCAGTGTCTATAACCATCCGTTGCTATCTCCCATCCTTATCTAGTCTCAAGATTCGAGCAATGCTTGAATACTAGTCACTTACGGATGTTCACTACTCTTACTGACCATGTTTCAGTGCCATAAAGTAGGACGGAACGAACTGCTGCGCAGTAAACCTGTCCTTTGGTTGATAGACGGATATCTCGCCTACGCCATAAATGACGCAAGTTGGTAAAAGCTAGTCGAGCCTTTTGTATCCGTGCTGAGATTTCGTCACACACCAGACCACAAGGGCTAGTGAGACTCCCAAGATAAGTGAAGCGGTCGACACGCTCAACTACTTCACTCCCTATCATTAGTTCGGGTGTCAATGTAATCCAATCCTCGAGCAATATTTTGCATTTCGAAGGAGAGAATCGCATGCCGAATATGCTTGCATTGTTGCTTAGAGTGGTCAGAAGACTGCATTTTGTCAGCGTCTTCACCAAATAGAACAATGTCATCAGCATATTCTAGGTCAAAAAGTGAATTTCCCGATAAAAGTTCAACTCCTGGAAATTTAGATGAGGAAAGTGTTATCTCTAAAAGTACGTCGACGACAAAACCAACCAAGAATGGAGAGAGTGGACAGCCCTGACGAACACCACTTGACGTAATCAATTCTGATGACAGTTATCCATAAGCTCTCACTCTACCAGTTGTGTTCGGGTAGAGAGCCTTTATAAGGTTAATATACTTCTTTGGTACTCCTTTCAGTTATAAACACTGCTATTGAACCTCGAATACTGGCTTATGGTCGAGAAATACTACGATTGTGGGGCGTCTGAATGTGTGTCTGTATTCTAGAACCTGACGTAGTGTGCATATCTGGTCTATACAACCACGTCCAGATTGAAAACCAGTCTGGTTTTCTCTAGTCTGCTCTTCACGAGCTTTAGTTATGCGTCGAAGTATTATTGAAGCTAATATTTTAGACACCAGATTAGTCAAGCTTTTTCCTCTGTGGTTGTCACAAGAGGACATTTGTCCTTTCTTATAGACTGGCACGATCAGTGATTGAGACCAGTCAGATGGGATTACGTCCAGTTCTCAGATTCTACCTAAGACCTCGGTCAATCTCGCTACCACCATCCTTAAAAATCTCAGGGTTAAACTTTTCAGGGCCTGCTGCTCTCCCTTGCTTCAGATTTTCTATAGCTTTTTCAATTTCGTAAAGAGTCGGAGGATCTTCATTAACTTGCCATTCAGGTCGACTGGAGATCAATTAAATTTCATTGTTTTCCATTTCAAAATGCCTCGATAAGTGTACTTATTTCCAGGTTGTTCGAAATGTATAGAGTGAATGCACCTTATTTTTCAGATCAATAATGCTTTTCACTGGTCTGTTAAGCTTTATGAAAGGGACTAATTGTTTCAGATCCTGTTAAACCTGCACTTAATCCGTCAACTTAATTCTGTTTTCTTAGTACGACACGTATGTTGTCAGTAAATCAGCCTGAATAACATTTATCAGTATATTTTAGTCATTACATCAGATGTAATGTTCACTGCTACTCTGTTATCACTTCAAGAGGTAATTATCAATCTCTCTCGCGTTTTACATAGAGTCCATTGTGTTATATCCTAGTTAAGGTTACATTACTAGTAACGTCTGAAACCTATTAATGGACTAATATTACTAATATATTCTTATGGTGTAAATATTCAGTAACTAGATTATGTATATCTATATACCATGACTAGTCCTCCTCACGTTTCTTTATCACCTCGCACCGCTAGGGCAAACGATTTGAGTACGCGGAACGTCATTCCTGGTATACTGAGACCACGCTCTAAACTACATGTAGGAGCTTTTAACGTCCGAACACTGTGCCAAATAGGACAGCAGGCTTCCTTAGCTAGGACATTGGAATCTCGCGCCATAAATGTGTGCTGCGTCTCCGAAACGCGCGTACAGGATCCGAGTAGCGTCATTCATTTGACCTCACCATATCAAAATAGAGGGTCATCTCACTTCACGCTTTGCGTATCTGGAAGCCTTGATTCTGCTTCCCGTGGCCTCGCTGGTGTAGGCATAGCGTTGAGTCCTAGAACAGAACTAGCTCTCTTAGACTGGATCCCAGTAGATAGTCGTTTCTGTTCCGTCCGACTAAACGGAACAGTAAGAACTCAGAAAGATATGGACACTCGCCGTTGCCTCTTCGTCGTCTCTGAATACTCTCCAACTGACTGCAGCGCAGAGTGAGAGCTTATGGATAACTGTCATCAGAATTGATTACGTCAAGTGGTGTTCGTCAGGGCTGTCCACTCTCTCCATTCTTGGTTGGTTTTGTCGTCGACGTACTTTTAGAAATAACACTTTCCTCATCTAAATTTCCAGGAGTTGAACTTTTATCGGGAAATTCACTTTTTGACCTAGAATATGCTGATGACATTGTTCTATTTGGTGAAGACGCTGACAAAATGCAGTCTTCTGACCACTCTAAGCAACAATGCAAGCATATTCGGCATGCGATTCTCTCCTTCGAAATGCAAAATACTGCTCGAGGATTGGATTACATTGACACCCGAACTAATGATAGGGAGTGAAGTAGTTGAGCGTGTCGACCGCTTCACTTATCTTGGGAGTCTCACTAGCCCTTGTGGTCTGGTGTGTGACGAAATCTCAGCACGGATACAAAAGGCTCGACTAGCTTTTACCAACTTGCGTCATTTATGGCGTAGGCGAGATATCCGTCTATCAACCAAAGGACAGGTTTACTGCGCAGCAGTTCGTTCCGTCCTACTTTATGGCACTGAAACTTGGCGGGTAAGAGTAAAGGATATCCGTAGTTTACTAGCATTTGAACATAGGTGTCTTCGATATATTGTGCGTATATACTGGGACCACCGAGTAAGCAATACAGTTGTTAGGAAACGGGTACTAGGTAAGGATGGCAAATCAATTAATGAAGTAGTGAATCTTCATCAGTTGAGATGGCTGGGACACGTGTTACGTATGCCGAACGACCGACTGCCTCGACATGCGATGCTCAGTGTTATAGGAGTAGGTTGGAAGAATGCTAGGGGCGGCCAGAACAAAACATGGCACAAGTCCATGAAGTCACTGACAAGTGGACTGAGTCATGTTGGTAGGTGTAGACTACCTGGTTGGGGACCACGAGATGATAGCAACCGATGGTTAGAGACCCTGAATGAGATGGCTCGAAATTGTTTGCAATGGCGCAGGTGCATACATTCTTTGTGTTCTCCCGAATTTTGATCTCCTTATTCCTCCTTGCCTCTTTTTTTCTCTTCCCAGATTTATTTCACTGTATTATACTCTTTAAGTAACATCTCCAAACATTAATCTTCCCGATTACTGCTTATACTCTCATTACCTCTGCCACTACGGGATTTGAATCGACCACTGCATCTCTGTGCTAATGTGGTGTGGCAACTCGAACCGATGTACGTGAGTACGTACGAAGTTCTACGTTTTTACTGACTGACTGATTATACCATTTACCATTCTTGGATTATGCCCTGTCCATTAATCACTCCGCCCACATTCGCAGCCACATTGGACCAAATCTTGTCGAATGTTATTTCCTATTTTATGTTACGATGTTGTTGCACGAAACAATCGTGCATTGAGCAAGCTTTAATCCAGTCTATGTGATGTTTGATTGGTATATAATCCATGTATTGCAGAGACAGATTGGTGTTCTGGACTTAACTGACTGGGCTAGACAGGAAGCAAGACTGATAAGTACCCTAGACTTCTCATACGGGTTTTAGGCGTCATTCATACGATCGATAATTCACTGTTCTCTAATTGGTGGTATCATTACGTTATAAATTGGTAGGACATTCAGGCGACAAGTTATAACGATCTCTCATACTTTTTGATATGGCTTTACTTTAGGTACTTGATGAGGTGTCTTTCCTTTCTGTTTGTGCATGGCCTTCTTCTCAAACATTTCTAAAGCGAATGTGGTCGAGCATCTTTGCAGTCATTCGTATGTCTGACTTTGGTTCTTCAGCTTGTACGTTGTCTGGTCTTGCTGCCTTCTCACTCTTGATCTTGCTGATGATCATGTTGATTTCTTTGACTGTTGGTGCGGTAACATCTATATGTGTCTCATGTTTCCTTCTGTTTCAGCCTTTTCTACCGTCATTGTTAGGCCTTCCTCATTTTTGGAATTAGGTACCTACAGATAAATTTCTTGAATAATTCTCTCTACTGTGGCATAAAGAGTCTTATCAAGGCTATAGTGAAAATAGGTAACTATGTATGTAGCCAACAATTATAATTTTTTTTCCAAAATGTAACTAACTACAATTAGTACAAAAGGGCAGAATTGTAGTCGATTACAACGAGAACAACAAGCACATTCATATAGAACAATAGCACGGGATGCTACATGATATGTTGCAAATTTATGATTAGCTAAACTAATTATTAACTAGCATGTTTACTGACAGTGTGAGTTTATATTTATGTTGAATATCTTAAATGGATTCTACCGCTTGTCTTCTAATAAGTTAGTTGTTACCATAAATCATCCACCTTATTTTAGAGTGCCTGATCATGACGGTGTTTGTCCAGCTACACTAACGGGTATGGCGATCGATATTGCTGAAGGTTTGGCTTACTTACACAGGAAAAATTTGATCCATCGTGACATTGCCTGTCGTAACTGTCTTGTTGGTTCTGATGGGGTTGTAAAAATTGGAGATTTTGGTCTTACTCGTGAAATGAATAGTAGTGAGAACGAAGGTTATTATCGCTTTACTCGTAACTGTAAGTATTGGAATAACTCTTCGTTTGTTTATATATTATTGTTCATTCTTATAAAAATATTCATGTACAATTTATGTGTCATAAGTGTTTTTTGCTGTCAAACTAAATGAAATATTTTTACTGCGTATGCTCGATTAATACTGTGTTTGTATTTCTAAAAGCTTTAGTTCTTTACAATCGGTTCAGGTTTATTGTTTCTTTGCAAACGACCATCATATGCATTCAAAAACATTCGTTCATTTTACTTTGAGACCTGTTTTCCTAAAGAGCTGTTGTTGTACTACTGTTAAATGAAACATTCCTCAAATACTAGTGTGCTCGTCGGAGCCTCGGCCGACGTAGCTTATCTTAGGCAGTCGTGTAGAGGAACACTCACTTCAATTTGGTCTAAACAAAAGTGTACATACATGTATTTCGTAAATAATTTACGTTATTTTATCAACATTTCTAAATACAACTGTTATATGCATATATCACTGTGTGAAACATATTTTAGAAACGGATTTTTCATATCTTTAGTCAAATAGGTGGTATTACTTTTTTAATCGATGTAAGTACAATGTGAAACTTATATCCTGACGCTGATGTTCTAAGCTAGAAGATAGTGTAGTATGCTGACAGCACGTTTTTTGGCTCATACTGCAGTGTTAGTGTTACATTTGTTTCTATTGCTTTCAACTTTTGGTTATCAATTTTTATAGGTGAACTCCCTATCCGTTGGATGTCTCCTGAAGCTGTCCAGTTTGGTGTATTTAGTGTTCATTCTGATATTTGGTCATATGGAATTGTTTTATATGAAATTATAACTTTTGGAGTGTTTCCGTATGATGGTTTAGGTGATGTTGAAGTTGTGGAGCGTGTAAAGCGCAAAGATTTTAGCATAATCGAATTTTTGCCTTTAGCAGCAAGAAACACTACTATGTAAGTTCCTTATTATTTGATTAGGTATGATTTTTTGTCTCATAAGCTGTGCTAAATATCTATTAATATACTATAAGTTACACCTGTTTTGGTCGTCTTGCTATTTTTTCAGCTCTCGATTAATATATCAATGTTGTCAGCACCAATGGCAACATCGTCCGGCTTCACTTGATCATATTATAGCTATTTTGCGAAAAAATCCCGATTGTGTCCGCCCGTTTCTTACAAATGAACCACCGAAACCAAATAGTACTATTGACGCCCTTCGTGTAAGTTACTTCCGGATGTTTTTTTCAGGATTCACACAATAAAAAGTCATTATTTTCATGCTGTTTTACTTTTGTATCTTGATCATTGACTAGATCTTCCCTACGAGCAGTCTGACGATGATTATGTTCAAATACGAGTGCTAATATAATCTTGATCTTTGTGAGTAGCTTAGTTATGATCCTTTTTAAACGAAAATGGTTCAAAAGCGTTCGTAATTATGTAGCTACATGAATTTTTAAATTTTCCTTAGTAGAAAACGCTAATTGATTTTGATTAATGTATTATTAATTCTTTACAGTTAATTGTATATTCTACTCTTAGTAAAAGCGTTGGGCTAATGAATAAGATATTCAGTCTCCAAGTCTTACGCTGTAACCCCTTTTCACCTACTTTATTTTGGGCAACCGTATAGTATTAATAGCTGTCACACCGATTGTGCTTCATATTCTAATGTTTGGTGAATGAGTTATTCGTGAAACATGTTCAATGCACTTTTAGTGTTGCCAATTACCCATGAATTTTCTTCAATTAATGGAAGTACGTAAAGACTTGTTAAAATTCAGTTTCGTCCTTATATTCTAGGAGTTTGCCATAATCACTCAGATTAATCGAATGTAACAAGATGTTTTAATAATTAGTCAGGAAGGCATGAATATAAGTATCCTCTGAATTATATATATATATATATATATATATATATATATAGTATACGATATCCAAGTGATTCTCATTTCTGCCCGTCTTTTTGAGTTTTTACTCCATACTGCAACCTTGATGATACACTGGTTTTTTGTTTTTGTAGCTTGTTCACCGAAGTACTTTCATACCTGTCCTTTATTTTGTAATATGTTTCTTCGAATGTGACTGATTCTTATGATACCTTCTTGTATGATTGGAAGTGTTTTCTCTGTTTTTCTCTTATTGCATAGGGAGATATTATGAAGCTTACTTCTTCATTCTCTTTTCTATCTTGTTTAGTTTCAACCTGGTGCTGGTGCATGTATCATGTCGAAAAATACTCTTGCTTCTGGTGATCCATCTCCAAGCAACCCACTTACTTGTAATACTACCTCTGATGGCATTCATGGTTATCCAATAAGTTCTAGTATCCGAGGTGTTCTCAGTGCGACAGGTAGCTTGGGTGGTTCCGGAAAGTCTCCATTAGGTCATCATTCAGCAGATTCGTTTTCAGAGAATCTTAGTACATCTGCATTTCTATCATTTTTATCAGAAGCCCCTTTGCAAAACTTAGGTCGACGTCGTCATAAGACTGCTGACGGTTCGACGACGGCCTGTCGGTACCAAGGTATTCGCCGAGGTACTAGTTCTTCTTCATGCGGTCATACGTTTCGTAGTTCAGAACACAGTTCTGGCGATCGTTCCACCGCTGAAGATCAACCACATCTTACCAGTGAAGTTCTGAGATTCCCTAATTGGCAGAAGTTTGATTCTTTTAGTCCTAAATCAACTATCTCATTTGAGGAAAGAAGGTTAAAAAATTACTCTAAAACAAGACATGGTAAACCAAGTCCAATCAGAAAAATATTTAGCAAACAAACTAGTGTAGGGGATGAGCACATGGAATTAGTTTTGCCAAAAAATCCAACCGATTATCGTCATGTTCAAGATTTGCTAAATCAATCTTTCGTTACACCTATAAGCTATCCCCAGGATGAATCAAAAACTAGAACTTCTCAAGGAGAAATCGTGTATGAATGTGAGGATTTTCAAAATGTTCAACGGGATAACAATTTAGCGTTTCTATCTTGGTAAGTATATTTGTCTAATCATTCTGCATGCAATACTTTTTGGTTACTGTTCTATTATATTATTTACTCAACACTTTTCATTCAGAATTTTGGATTCATAGAAGTATTTAAGGTTGTAGAAATCAATATGTTCTGATTTAATCTTGCAGTCATTCTACATTTTCGACTGTTTTAGTGTCTGCACATTTATTGTTGAAAATCATGGAAAAATTCACGAGACAGTACTTTTGAATTGTCATTTATAAATAATTATTGCATTGAAAAACGTGCTACGCTATAGATAGGGGGATGCATATAATATAAAATATGATAAATAGTGTGTTGATTAAATGAATGAAGGTCCTCAAATGCCCTAGTACATCCTAGGGTGGGGAGAGTCCGCTCTCCCTCGCGAAATGCTGTCACATGGCCACGCGTGTACGAACACTGCCAAGGATTTCCTACTCATTGCCTTCTCGCGGCGAGGTGTTGTTTACAAAATTGAGAGGATGAAAAGCGAATGTCCGGCACTTTAACCGGGTTGGTGGACATGAAGTTGGGAGTTGGGAAACCCTGCTTTCAAACCAAAGGTGCACGTGGGTTCCAGGATTCTGAGGGAACAAATGGTGTGTGAACTAATTATTGGTCACCGGCTACCATGGTTCTCTCCTGGACAGTATCACAGCCCATATACAAATCAAATGACTTGTGTGGCGCAAATGTGTTTCGTCCCTCTTGTACTAATTTTTGTGTTCAATTAAATAAATAAACCGAACGAAGATATTAGTGATAGAAAATAAAGGAAAGCCTTAGCTTCTCTTCACACTTTTTTATATCTATGCCACAGTTCATTGCGAAAACTTTCATATTCATTCAATAATTTTGACTTAAATTCAGTTCCTGAAGGAAATTAGGTCGTTGAATCTTCCGGTTTTTTGGTAATTTTTTTGACCTTATCGTTAACAAAAATATAATATATATCACTAACTACTCATCTGTCCGTATTCCATTCTGCTTTAACACTAGTGGATAATCTTTGAAGAACTCATCATTTCAAATCACTGTTTGAATATATCCTGTTAGATAAATTTGAGATTACTTACAAATATCCACAGGTAATAATAAAATTGGTATTGTGTTTTCATTGAGTATAATATGGTTTCCATGGATACTCATGATGTAAAAACCAGTAGGTTTATTGTTTTCATATATATTACTTAACTGTAGAGCACACGATATCAACATCTTTTTTACGGTCAGTTCGGTCATTTTTACTGTCTATCAGCTTTTTAGGTGTTTTCGATCATTGTTTTCCTATATGCAATTTACTGTTCAAATTGTCCCATTATTTTATCATAAAATTAGCGAATAATATTTCCAAGGTAATTGGGAAACTTACGGTTTTCATTGTATTCAGGATCCAAGAAATTGAATAAATCTGTATCATAACCGTCGAAGTTGTTTATTTAGGAGTGGACTGTTTTTCAGCACTACATTTTATGGCTGTTGAAGTTCATCTTTTGAACACTAGCAATTGTTATCCTTGTTCTTTAGACGATATATATATATATATATATTAAAATTCAGTCAAGTTTCTGTATAGTTAAGGAATTTGCTTAGGAAACAACAATATTTCCCTACTTCAGTACTCAATATATGATAAGGGAATACAAACAGCTACTCCGAAAATGCGCTGGAATTATTCTAGGTGATATTTTCAGGGAATCCATTATTTAATATTCCGAAAGTTTTCAGTTAGAAAAAGCTTTACTGCTGGACCTGCTACTTCAAATGGGAAAATAGTTTAGGATTGATGAACTGCCTTTTCGTTTTTCAGGATATTTTAGTAGGTCATTTGTCTGTTATCCAGGGACTGGGAGCTTAGACCATCTTTCAACTCTTAATTTGCACAATTGCGTAGTATTATTATCTTTTGAGCATGTAATAGATTATAAAACAGAGTCCATTGTCCAACTGTAGATCTCTAAAGTCATCTGAGTAATTGAAATCTGTATACTTCTATCTGGCTTGTTTGGTCTTATACATATATCTATCGAAAGACCTACTGCGTTTTTCGTGTTAGTTTCAATATAAGGTTTTTATCTAACTGGATGGGCCATAAGAATGAATGATTTTCATGACCAACATTCATTTCTCGATCTAAACCTGTCACTGCGCTATCAGCGAATTACTGACAGTACGATGCATATGGAAATTTCTCCTAGTATCTGTTGTGCTTGTATATATTTCCTAACGAATATAAGGTCGGTATTTGTTCTCAAAGTAACTCTATAGAAAAATAATGTCAAATCCACTCCAACTCATTCTTTTACTGAACATACTTCCATTATTCTGTGTTCCTCATTTTTGCTTGCAGAAGTAAAAGTAACTATTATCCGGTTAACAGTTTATGATAACCAAATCATCAGTTTTTCCCCACCGTTTCAAACTTCTGTCAGTCATTCTGTCTCATCACATACCTTCTCAAATTTTCCTACGTCATGTCCATCGATTTTCAGTCCAAATGCTTCAGATAATCAAAGATCTACTGTTCCTTTATCTATTGCCATCTCCCACTGATAAACATTGCAGCCCAATCGAAATGAACAAATCTACTGAATATCAGCCTGTCACATGTGTCTCTGAAGTTGTTTGCTTAGACACAGTCCTGGGAAAAACTAGCTTCAGTTGACGCAAGTTTTGGAGATAGAACAACGTACTTCCAGTAATTTTCGTGGTGTACCTATCACAAATACAAAGGAAACACGTAAATCAGAACTATTTCTACTTTAATAGTCTGTTAACGTGTTTACTTGTCTATTTGTAATTTCCCGGTTTCAGATATCCTATTTCATTTCTACCTCAGTTTATGAACATGTGTAGTCTAACACCACATTATTATTCGTTTGAAATTTCATTTATTATGTATATTGAGTATGTATTATGTTAATGAATTTTTTAAAGATGTGAATGAAATAATTTTTTATGATCCAGGAAAATGATTTGTATTAAATATTCTAAAATTTAATGGTATACACTTTGTCTTGCTTCCGAAGATACTTTCATTGTTCACGTAATAACACCATATTTGTAAGGGCTTAATTAACAGTTATCTTTCGACTTTGTAACATATTTTTTGGTAGTAATAGTAGTTTCATTTCATCTATGTGAATTCTGTTCAACAGTGTCGAGAAATTTACTTTTTTCCTGTAAATTCGTTTTTGACGTATATGTACTATAACGCGCCAACTATGTGTAATGGGTAGTAAATTCATTTGTCAAATCATAGATTGTATATAGTTGGTTTATTTTATTATAGTCAATATTTCTTATCTTACAGAATGAGAAATCCTTTTATATAATTTACTTGTATATTATTCTCTGAGCTTGTTTTTAAAAAATTGATCTTATTTGTAATGACACTCTTTTTTTTACTGCGATTTGTGTACCCTTTATTTGTATTTTCAGTAAATACCAAATAAACTTATCAAGTTTATGATACCTCCTAAAGATCTCATTCAATTCATATTAGTTTTTAACTTGAGCCTTTTTTTTAAATAAAAAAACATCCATAACTTGTTGTAGATGTAGCCTTACTTCAGAGTTCTAAACTATGTTGTTACTTTAAATCTTTCGTATACCAGATTTCTTCTATCTTATGTACTTGACGAACGGTATGGCAAATTCCCGTTTCGGTAATCAAAATATTTTGGTTATACCCGACTGTCGCTAGAAAATTGCAATAATTCGTTCTGGTGAGATTTGTAGATCTATTGTTTTTGATTGAACCTTCATCCGTCCCCTGAAAGCTTTCGGCAACTTAACTAATACCATATTCATACTTTAACAATAAGTTTCAATGTACTCTTTTTAGACATTCGTTTATGTAGGGTCATGTATGTTAAAATAATTCAGGTGATTGACGCAAACATATAGTTTGTATCGCAATTCTATTCAAATGCAACCCGATTTCCTTTAATTGCGCATGCATTCTAGTGTTCAGTAAACCGTTTCAGAATCAACTTGTTGTGAATATGTTGTAAATGTTTATTTCACCATTATGCTGTTGATAACCTTTAAATTTTCACCTCAATTGGTTCCGTTTTCTAAGCAGCTACGTTTTATCGACTAGATTTGCATCATCGCTTGAAGTGCATAAAATGGCAAAACTTGCTTATATAACTAATCATAGCATACTCTTAATCGGTTCGTGATAATTTTGTTATATAGTGGGGCGTTTTGTTGTTAAATATTCGAATCAGTACAGTTAATCGTGCCACAATATTTTTCATCTTGTCATTATTATCGTCCAAGTTACTTTCAGTCCAAACAACCACTACCAACTGTAACTGTCACCATGATACGTGCTTGTAACAAATGAAACTCATTGGACCCAGTCTCGACAGTAGGACTTCACGATAGCTGATGTTGCTTTCTGGTCATAGGAAAAAATACCTCTTACCACAAGGAGCTTCACTCACGTTGCCAGATTAAACGCCTCCGTAATCGGAATGTCATGGAGTCAACCCTAAGTTTTCGTAGCGTATCTTTCATCATAACTTCAAAATGGTAACTTCACTAGGAATAGTATTTTACAAATGTGGTGTCGACACTGTTTATATCTTGATAGCTTTTCAAATTCTTAACTCTTCTCATGCAACTGTCTACTAAACTAATCTATATTCTGAATGCTAGCGGTGGGATATTCTCCGAACGCAAACTTGTAACAGTAAGACTTGGGAGTAATAATAAGTCACAACTTAGAGTACTGGATTGAAGCAGCTAGCCTATCTCTGATTACGGATACTAACTCACTTGAGTGTGTTCAGTGTGTGGGATCGGAGTTAGTGAATGGTCTTTCTAAACTCCCTTACGATGGGCGCTTAAAACGCTCTAACTTTTTCACCTTGGATCGTAAGATGCGAGTTGACCTTATATTAATATTTCGTATCTTTAGTAACGATTTGGGTGCTAATACGTCTTATCATTTTGCTCCCTCCGGCACTGATAATCTCCAATATCATAGCAAGAAGTTTCACAAACCGCGATCTGTTAAACTTGTACAACATCTAAACTACATAACTGGAATTTGTAACTCCGTTGTGCGTGGTACTTCACAGTTCCGATAGAACTTCTTCCCACTAAAACTATACCAGGAACATGGAGATCAGTCAAACGAAAAAACCTATATTTGTGCGAAAATTCATCGTTCATACTGTCATTATGTGACAACTGCAGTATGAACTTTAAATGGTTCATCATTAAGTTGCAGCATCCATATGAGGCCCCAATTTTTGTATTGAAGGTCTCAATTTGAAGTCAACCATTATTTTTTACCCATCATTTCGTTATCCGCTATATACAGCAAAAATGTCACCATAAAACGCCAACCAACTTAATCAATCGAAATTTCTGCACTCGATATCGCTATATTTATTACAATTTTATCGTGCATGTAAACTGTCAGGCATCCGTTAACCTATTTTTTAGAATTAAAAGATTATCGTTGTATAATTTCATTGTGGGATGTCGGACTTCTGACAACAATATAGTGTCCGAATGAATTTACAAAAAAAGAGGAGGGGTTTTGCAAAGTGTAACGAATTTTAGAATCGTTTCGCGTAGTAAAATTCTGTCAGTCATGTTGAGTGATAATACTACAATAGTAGCAACATAATTTTCTTATTAATTGGTGCTGACATTAGTGCCGTGATTGACTTAAAGCAGAAAGTCAATCTGTGTCGTTGGCAGTTTACTTGTGGCTATACTTACGAGTGATTGATAGTGCAAAAAAAGTTACACACAGGCATTTACATGTTTGAGAGCCCATGACAATCTTATTTGTGTGGCTCGTCCTATCGACTGAAGAAGTTGGTCAAGTTTGAATAATAATCAGCATTGAAATAAAGCTGCCAATGCTCACAGCGATCGGACACATAAGCGTCGACAGGAATGAAAAAATAAGCATGGAATATAATGATGAAAACCATAATAATAGGCTGTGTTTTTCAAAGTCTTACCCCCCTATGTACAACACCAACGTAAATGGTCTGTGTCGAATGAAACAGGGAAGGCGTGAATAGCTAAATAACTTTGAAATCAAACCCAAAACTTCGCATCCAACAACGATTACCCTTTCGTCGTTTCCTGATAATATGGATACATTTATGACCATGCAACACCGTTATAACTAAGACGATAATTTCTGCTACACCGTCTGCAACTTGAGCAGTCGAACGCATGAAACCCCGAAAACGCACATCAGAAGACGCTTGAAAAGGAATATAATCACAACCAGTTTCAAATATGGTACAAAACACTCAGCTATTCATAGCTTTTAGTAAATGTCAAAGCATCATTATAACCATGTCTCTCTCTAGCCATAAATAATGTTGTTATGAGGTCTCCAAATGCTGACGGCTAAATTCCCACAATTTTATGGTCATCCTCTATATCCTGCGGCCGAATGGGGACTGGCATAACTCTGCGCCGATAATTGATTTTCGACTTACATACTCCTTTACTAAACTCCACGAAGTCCTAACCGGACTTCTTTGCCAATCCATCATTCGACCATCTTTCACCTATTACCCATATTTTGTGCTTTTTCAACAAATCGATTAGTTACAGGCTCCATAGATGCACAATCACTACTAGTAGGTGGGCGATTGAGTCGTATGCTTAACAACGTTTTAGGTAGTAGTGAGCGTCTCTTATCGACCGACTGCAGTTGAATGAATCGGTAGGTTCAGTGAATTATTTATCTACTTCAAGTAAAAATTAACAAGGGACATGTAGCTACGGAGACATATCTCATACAACTGCAAAGAATAAAAGTAATGGAAAATAAACTTGTTTGTGATATGGTCGAAAAATGTGAAGGGCCTATCATGCCTGAGTGGGACGCAGATGTATTCGCGTGTGCTTGATCAATGCAAACGAGGGCTTCATCAAGAATATTTACAAACGTATGTAATACATCTGCCATGCGTATTTCAGAGGGAGAACTGTTCCTTGTTGATTCATCATTCGTGAAGAAGTTTTCTCGAGTTTTCGATCCGTATTTTTCAATTAACTGTTGATATTTCACCCTGAAGGCCTTATATATGGGGCCTTGGGCAAGAACTATGTTACAAGTGGAGCAAGTAAGATATTTGAGGAGTTTGAAGTAGAGGATTTAATTGGACCTGAGCTCTCTTTTCCAGAGTGATTCTAGTCCAAGCATATGGCATCGGAAACTATAGTCAGAGAGTGAGTCAGTCTCAAATATTTTGCAGGTGAAATACCATCATGTTCCTTCCACCCTCAGAATATCCGATAGGCGTAAGTTGGAAAACATGAACGAACACTATTCGACGATACGTCTTACACATATCTTGAAAGAAATGATTTAAGATTGATTTCGACAGAAGTTACGACGAATGAAGTCGAACAATTTCCGCAGTTTAGATGCTTTGGTGAAGATATAATCAGAGAAGTTAAGACTGTATGAGTAATGTACCCCATGGTCACTTACTGATTTGAGTATGAATTGTACGTCCTTGTTAAGCGTTGGTTGGCGTGACTATAATTTATGGACAAATCAATTAGATTTAGGATAACAGGTCATGGATTTTGGCGCAAAATTCACTAACCCATTTGACCAAACAATGTCTTTACATTTTAGCTGATGTCATTTGATGATGAAAAACCGTAAATCTTATTCCTAACCTTAACCAACAACTGTGAATCATAATCCTTATTCTTCAAACTGCTTTACAACACTCATTTATCCCTAGTAAGTAGGTAGACACTCTCGAGGTCATTTTGGAGTCCTCAAAGCTGTCATCTGTTAGTTTTATATCAAGAGACATATCTCTAATACATACGCAGCCTCACTTCTCTATATTGAGTTCCAACCTCCAGCGCTTACACCAATTACTTACCATGTCCAGTTTATGGGTGATCGTTTGCATAGTGCCACGTACATCGCGAATATTAGTTTTGTTAAGTACTGAATTTCCGTTCAATAACGGTAGAACACGTGTCATCAAATTTAATAGCGATTCGCCAGTGATATAATTCCAGTTCTTGAACCTTTGGCACATGTTATCTGTACTGTCTGTGGAAAGATTTCGTTGTTTGTTGTTGGTGGGTAGAGACGCATGAAATGCTGGGCGATGACTGTGTTTTAAGAGCTTGATTTAACATGACATTCATACTTCACAGTTGAAAAGAACCTTCTCGAATATTCAACTCTTTAATTGTCCCAGGGGCATGTGCATTCATGAATATCTGCATCTCCAAAAACACTCAACAGCCGTAATGCAATGTACAAAAATTTATTACTCACACATCCTGATGTAAAGCCGCTCAGAACATTGATGTACAACTCAATACTTGAACATGAAGTGTCATTTTAAATTTATAGATCACACGAATTATTAATACGAATTAAATCCTGCGATTAACTTTTTGGTCGGAATGTACGCATGAGAACAAAAGATGTATTTTTAGACTTAGTGTACAAGCCCGCTTTTTCTTATATTTATGTGTTTTATGTGAACAGGTAGTCCGAATGACATCATTCTATGTTTCTCCTATGTGTTAGAATTTGTTGGTTGTTTGGAATCCCATCTTCTGAGTACGATATGCCTAAACTCATAAGATGAGTCAGTCAGAGTATTTTAGGACAAGAAATGAAACAAATAAATTTACGTTAGATCAAAACGAAATTAAAAGTCGATCATTTAGGTAAACTTTATTGATTGCAAAGCAGAAGGTATTGTTTATATTTGTGGAAGACGATGCCAGTTTCAAACTCACCGATGGTTAGACATTTTCCTTCAACCATGAGTGGGACAATGAATTGCACGGATTATGAATCTGTAGAATGTTGTGTAGTCATTTTTCTTACATATTTATAACAAACCTCACTGTTCTCACAAGTGAAATGGTGTAAAACTTTCTCAGTGGTCATCACAGTTTGAAACTTGAATACTTGCTGTGATTTGATTGAACAGTGGTTTCAAATCTCCTTTCTTAAGTGATGTGTAAACATTTGCAAATAGTTCTCTTGTAATTCAACTCTCCACTTTTATAACCAACATTGTATCCTATACTACCCAGGTTTTATGATTGTATTATTATATGAATAAAATGTTTGACTTTGAAATGCTCAGAAGAAAGACTAATTATAATAAGTTCATCAGATAGTTGATCTTAGTGTCCCTACACATGTGTTGGTGTGACTCGACTACTAAGTTAGAATAAGCAATTCTTATCTTTGCATGATGCATTACCATTAAGCTTTAGGTTTCCCTTCGTCGGAATAAAATTGATAGGTTGAGTACAGGTTATAAAGCAAACCAGATTCATTTGCCTGTTGTGCATAGGACGACATATCGGTCTCCGTTATTCTACTTTTACCAAACACAGCCAATAGCAGCTGTCTTAAGTTGTGACTTTTACCTAACATGGTTCATATGAAACAAAAAACAGTTGTTGATTATATTAATGGCCGTTCGAATTTGTAGTAAATTCATTGTGCACTTCAAAACAAGCGAATCCCGTTTTATTATTATTAAGAGATCCATCAAACATATTGTACATCAAGACGGATGAACTGTGGATGATATTCATTGTCAATAAAGCTAAATGTATTCTAGATGTAATTGTGGTTCATTTATTATTTATACGCTTGAATTATGGTGGATTGTAACAACCAAGCCTCGGATCTCATGCATGATATGATAATCTATCTAGATGAAGAATATTTGACAACAAGTATAAGCTAACAATTTCATGGCTCATTAATTTTTTATTACGGTCGTTAGACTTTCCTTGACTACAGCATCTTATTTGCAGTGGTTACATGATAGCTTCTCACAATAAAATTTAAACTAATAGAATTAGAAATCCGCGTTCCCGCCTTGTGGTCTAGATAAATAAAAGGGAAAGCCATTAAGTTTAATCATTTATGATCATTAGGTTATGGTGTTATTCAGAAAACATTTATCACGTCTGGTCTTAATACAGACTAGATATAAAGGACAACTTTCAAAGGATTTTTATATTGAGATATAGGTCACATAAGACTAACTGAAAAAAATATAGCTTATGAACCCCACAAAACTTATCGACAATCTAACGCATGCGCAACTTGTAGCCCGATAAGTCCGAAGAACTAAACTAATTTCTGACAAGTGTACTGCAGCACAGTTACGTGTGAGTGATAGATAGTGATTATGTTATAAAATTTAGAGAATGACATTGAAAATCCAGCTGAAATAATTCCTTAAATGCTCCTTCAGTCCGTTTAATTGACGAAATTTTACATGCGAATTACTACGGTTACGTAACGTAATCTATGAGTGTAAAGACGTCATGGGTATTCTGAGTCTAACAATGCTTTTACCAGGAACACCTTAATGATCAAAGTATGCCAACTCAGTCAAACCAGAAGCCAGAAATGAAGAGTTGTCAAGATATATTTGGAAGGCATCGATATCTCGAGAAGCGTTCGGTCTAATTTGGCTAACGATTGTACGAGATACATAGCACCGTGTACCCACTCGTGATTTGGTGCGGACGCGTGACTTAATGGTTGCGTAAGGATCAGTTGGCCAACATATACCAACCTCAAGTTCTCTGTATATACAATTTACAGCTTTACCGATCAAGTATAACACATGTCATCGTTGGACAAGTTCACTGTAGCGCAATCCTGAGTGAGATGGAATATATTGACCTCTACAAAAATAATGACCCAAAATCTCAACTCTTATTCGCTAACATGGTTCTTTACACACTGAAACCAACGAATCATCGCATATGACGCTCAATTTTTACATAATAACGTACATGAGGGTACGATATAACTACAGTGAACTACATGATATGAAAGACCTGACATTCCACCATAAAATAACTAAGCGAGAGCCACGAAACTAAGGGGTTCATGCTAAATCATCACAAAGATATGGGATATACGTTAAATATCTATTGTTTGCAATTTTCGGGACAGAAGCATCCTAGAGACATTTTGTTTATACTACTCGATGAATGTATTAGATCCTTGAAACCTGTTCAGTTTTTTCTAGGCCAAGTATACTTCTGAGCTTTTTAAGAACTAATTGTCCCCAAGGTATGGGTGTGGAAGATGAAATGAAGAAAGCGTCCTGCTCCTGTTCATCCATATGTTTTGAATATCCTCAGTCAAGTATGACGCGTCCATTAAACAAAAGAAGAGGTTTGATAGAAAATATAGGACTTTGTGAGAGTAAGTTTGCTACAATAACTGTATGAAATAGAGATAATGGCTGAAATGATGCTGAAAGAAAAAGGAGAGGCCTTTCCCGAAAAAGATTATAGTGATCAAAAGAGAAAATCTACAGAAACTTGTGTTTTTAAAGCACATCAAAATACGAAAACTAGTATTTCACCGTTGTCTGTTCAGAAGTAGGTTTTGTTCACTGAAATATGAAGCTTTTTACTATAGGAAATACGACTCAAGAAAAACTCACGTAAGTGTTGTTTATTTCGATCCTTCATAGAGACTAATAGTTACCTCAAAATTTCAACCTTTTTAAAAAGACGTTAAGATTTTGACCGAATTTCATAATAAATTCTGTGCAGAGTTCTGCCAGGAACCTCGTTATTTTTCATGGTCTGGATTTTTTCTGTGCAATGAAAAGATTTCGGGAAATCTTAAGTATTGAGAAATAAGTCACACCTTATTATATATATATATATATATATATATATATATATATATATATATATATATATATATTTGTGTACGTATTTATCATCGACTTTCTATCTGATGCTCAATTTATTTGGAACTATCAAGTCCAGCCTTGGTATTCATGCCTAAAGGATACATATATGCTTCTGCGAAGTTTCAGAAACTTGATTTAAAAGACCTCACATGTTTCAAGGACATAGCGTCAATCCTTTAAATTTACGCGGGTAATAGACACTTGTTCTGACAATCCTGAACTAAGGTCTATTCGAAAATTATACCATTTCATGAAGTTCATCTATCTATTGAAATCAAAGAGGGATATAGATTAGTTTGCGGATTTAGGATTAGGATATAGGATTGGAGGTTGGGGTTAGGAATTAGATTTCTGATGTTCACCACTAACTCGCATAGGCTATTACCCCACAATTTTATTTAGCTATTTGGATTAATGGATTTCTAAACGGAATCTACACTGCAACATGGTCGATAGCATTCGATCTGCACTAATACGGACTAGACTTGCATGACATTGATCGCCACCCAGTGGTCAATCAATTGTGAACGGACTCCAATATTTACCATCTTTGATTTCATTGGTTCGTCCATAATTTAGTCCCGCCGAAAGCTAATCCTGTACTAGTTGTTGCATAAAACATAACTCTTGATCGTGTCAGAATTCTCTGCCTAATATCGCTAGCATACTTGAATTGATAAACCGTTTTACGATGAATAAATACATAGTCTAAATGTATTGGTTGCTTGAAACTGCCCATCAATGTTTAGGACTCCAATTGGTCAGTCTCTTTTGTTATACGAACATCCTATGAGGATCGCACAAATATTACTACAAAGTCATTAACACATATCTCAAAAAATCTGCAAGCATCCCTATTACCATTGAGACTGTCACTACCTGTACCGTTCTGGGATTCGGCCTGACAGCATCACTGTGTTAATGGGGTGTGTCAACTTGAACCGATGTAAATACGTACCACGTTCTGCATTGCGACTGGCTGATACCAAGAGAGACTGATCAATCGAAGTCCTAAACATCAATGGGAAAATTCAAACAGCCAATATATAAAAATTAAAATCCACCTCCTTTCACAAACCAGTGGCCATCTAGACTCAGTAGCTATGTGGGTAACGCGATGGTGCAGGGGCGATTGATACTGGGTTTAAGTTACGGAGTGAACATCAAAACCGGGATTCAGGTACATCCACTTGACGAGTTCAAAAATTTCACTGCTAGCCATCAAATGTATCTGCATAAAAATAGGTAAATTGTTAGGAATAAGTCATTTGTAAACATAGTGCAAGAATACGTGATTCGAAGTCATTTGCATCATTAAAGTAGTCCTATTTTGTGCATTTTCCAACATCTTAGATCGTATTTATCCACTGCTATTATAAAAAGACTGACAAATCATAAATGGGTATATTGTTTGGAATAGGTCAGTTTTGAACATTGTCAGTGAAGATTACTGAGCTAGTATCACATCTTCAGTCTATGTGTTGTCAGTCCTTCAAAGGTCAGTTACAGTTCATTTGAGTGTTACAGAACAGTTTTTTAATTCAGCCGATTTTTAACTTCCCTCAAATAATTAATGCAATGAATAAAGACGCCGGTACATTTTGTGTGGAGAAGAAAAACAAACGCATGCTGAGGTGGTGTACCCATAAACTCTTAAACAACTCGTTTCTGAGCAGTAACGTAGAACATGGAGTGATCAAACCTAATTTCTCCACTGATTTAACAAATTCAGTCGTGACAGTATCTGAACACTCCTAGATCGAATAAGCAATTAATGAATCGTCAGCAAAATAATGTGTCCATTGAATCTGCAATAATTCTCGGCTAAACACCGGTCATCACGAGATAACTCCATATTATCTAATGCTTTTAAGAGTCATTGGTGTTCTAAATTAATAGTCAAGTGAAAAAGCATAACACAGACTCCTTTGCTACAGAGAATTACTACGACTATCTGAAAATACCTAAAATCCATTTGCATAACCTTTCCTTCTGTTCATCAATTCAGGAATATGGAGTCAGATTTAGAAAACATCCAAATCGTTAAACGAGGAAATCCCACAGATTTTTCGTGAACAGAATAATTAGACCCTACCTAACTATCACTTATCTTTAGGAGATATCTTATGGTGTTTTTTATGTCAAATATGTTTTCTAAGATGACAGGGAAAATCAAAATCACCCTCACAAAGTACTAAATTTAAATCGACTTAAATACCTATGAATTGTTGTAGATGGTATTATCAGTAATGATTTAAAAACTGTAGACACTAATCGAGAGATAATAACGGAAAACAAAGGCCAATCTTATGGCTTATGAAGAAGTGACTCTTTTCACTCGTAAACCTTTTCGTGAATATTTAGATTCCGAATGCTTAATGTCCTTATGTTTTTAGGCCAATTTTATGAGCTTAGCCTAAATCCTCTGAATCTCTTGAAAAAAAAGAAAGCTAGTTAAATATCAAAACGTTTGCATGTGGATTCATTTAGGCCGCTTCTAGTAGTGAATGCTGTTCGCGATAATACGATCTCAAACTAATTACATATCTCAAATTTTTTGATGAATGCACCCATGCCACATATGGTAATACTTCTGGGTCAGCAATTCATATCCTCATATCTTAATGACTACTCACCATGTTTGACTCATCCGTTGTGGATATTGTTCTGTTTGTTGTAGAGCATAAGTGGTGATATGCACGAGAACCTGAAATGAAGAATGCATATTTGTAGACCCACAGTAGATGTGAACTGCTTTTTCTCTTTAAAACTTTGTCTTATATCTTACTTTGACACATATGAACGAAAATATTTCTCCTGACAATCTTAATTTACTAGTTGGATCCATCACTACTCATATATTATCCCGCATAAACATCTATAATAATTTACTAATGTATTTAAAATATAAGCTGTTCAAGTTTTCAGATACTGCCACCTTGATATTTTTGTGAAAATAATTCTGATTGGAGTTTGATTTACCTTCCTGTCAGTCGTTATATAATGAAATACATATTACAATCGGGTTTTTTGTTCTAATTAGATGTTACTTGAAGATTTGGTATGTTACAAACTTCAAACAAAGAAATTACTTATTTACGACTGTTACTCCTCATGTAGCGTATGCCACTGACCAGGATTATTTTAACTATTGTGTTCCGGGCTCTCCTTTCCAATTGTTCTCAAGTGCTATTCATTCTTTTGATGCCTGCTCCCAATTCTCTAAGCTATGTGTTGTTTGGTCTGTCTCTCTTTCTTTTGCCTTAAGGATTCCATGTTAGGGTTTGCTTTGTGACGCGGCTCAATGATCGCCGAAGAGTGTTACCTATCCACCTCCAGTACGTTTTCCTTACCCACTTTCCATCTGAAGGCTGGTTTGTTCTCTACCACAGTAGGTTGTTGCTGATGCTATCTGGCCAGTGTATCTGGAGTATCTTGTGTAGACAGTTGTTTTTAAATACCTGTACTTTTATGATGGTTATTGTGGTAGTCCTCCAAGTTTCACCTCTATAATGTTCTACTATCCACATTTACGAACGCTTCTGTTTAGATGTGGAGGTTTTCATACTCATATTACTAGCTCATTTTGGAGCTAATTTATCGGTGATATCTGTGCCTTTTCTAGGTGCCCATTTTTTCTGAGATTTTAGGAGCCTTTTACTTATTGTCAAGTAACTGTTGCATACTTCTAATACATATCGAAATAACTAATCACAACAGAGCCTAGGCATAACCAAAAAATTCCACAATGACAAGGTATGACTTCGAAGCCAAAGTTGACAGAAGTGTGATGAAGGTCTCACGTGAACCGAAAATAAACATCAAGCATTAGTATGTGGGGTGGGGTTACACCTAATACGAAACAAACGATTTTTGTCATTTAGCATGTATACGCGAGTGAATTTTTTACATATACAAAGCTCATTACGATGCGAACGTTTAGACCTGTATAACTGAATGGATGGATAAAAGAACATCTTCCATAGGTAGACCTGGTATTTGAAAGGTTTCACGTATGTGGCCATACAACTAGAACAGAAAGATGTGGACTTTGTTGGGATTACCGTTAAAGGTTGATGATAAACGTATTGATGACCATTTTGGGGCACCTAGAATCAAGCACCATTCATGATTTTTCCTACGTCGTGAGGCTAAAGACAAATACTGTGTTGACTTGAAATCAATGAGATCTGACTAGAGAGGCCTATCTTGATGAATTGTTTTTCTTTCCAGTCTGTTTGTACATGTTCTTCTTCTCAAACATTTCTAAAGCGAATGTGGTCGAGCATCTTTGCAGTCATTCGTATGTCTGACTTTGGTTCTTCAGCTTGTACGTTGTCTGGTCTTGCTGCCTTCTCACTCTTGATCTTGCTGATGATCATGTTGATTTCTTTGACTGTTGGTGCGGTAACATCTATATGTGTCTCATGTTTCCTTCTGTTTCAGCCTTTTCTACCGTCATTGTTAGGCCTTCCTCATTTTTGGAATTAGGTACCTACAGATAAATTTCTTGAATAATTCTCTCTACTGTGGCATAAATAGTCTTATCAAGGCTATAGTGAAAATAGGTAACTATGTATGTAGCCAACAATTATAATTTTTTTTCCAAAATGTAACTAACTACAATTAGTACAAAAGGGCAGAATTGTAGTCGATTACAACGAGAACAACAAGCACATTCATATAGAACAATAGCACAGAAACAGCAAATGAAAACAGTATAGAAGGTTAGCCATGTTTATGCCTCTGGTGCAATTTAGCGATAGTGATAGTGGTTGAATATGTAGAGTTAAATAAGTTTAGAGTATTTGATTTAAAAGAGTATTGTACTAATAGACTGATGACTATCTAGCGTTTTCTTACATGATGTTTTGAGTAACAACGATGGAATCCCTGTACGTCCCTCAGTCTTTCATTCATTTCATATCGATTGTGCTGGTAGGCAGAAGCTAGAATAACTGTCATTAAATGAAAATTCGTGTGATTTAATTACGGTTGGAATAAGAAAAGTAATTGTCATTAACCAGTTTAAGGCGTTAATCGAATGCAGTATTATATGTTGCATATTTATGATTAGCTAGACTAATTATTATTAACTAACATGTTTACTGACAGTTCGAGTTGATGGTGGATATCTCAAATGGTGTCTACCGTTTATCTTCATTTTTCTCAAACCCTACAATTTTTTGCAAAAATCTTTGTTATATGTTCTTAAACCTGTAGTACTTGTGTTGTAACAACAGAAATTCATGAATATAATGACTTCACTTGTTTATCACATTTTTAAATTCATCCCAGAAAGCTGCAAATCGCCAGGTATATTCTGAAAGACGTCTGCCGAAGAGTTCTCCAGATATGGCAACAAAATGCACAGAAGAAAATATATCTTTTCTACTTTCACATATTTTAACAGACGGTAGCGGCCAGCCAACAAACGGGAAGCAATCCGTTAATTACCATATATCCACTGAAATCCCAGAGCATACATTCATTCAAAAACCAACGAATCCAATCAATGTTGCATCCAAAGAAACCGATGAAGGGATTCAACAAAGCAAGTTTATCACAGAGTATTGTGACTCGTCTATGTTATTTTATGTTTTTTAACGGACGAAATTGTTGCAGTAAAAGTGTTACTGAGATATAAGGATGAAAATTCGACGGTTAAGTAGGGGTTTTTAAAGACGAATCCATTTATTTTTAATATGCATGATGTACATGTTAACTGTGACAGTGAATTCCTATATACGTAGATAAAATTTGACGACGCTATAAATGAAAATAATTCTTTGAAATATTGTGCTGTACGTGACGCAATACAAGCAAATTCGTCATGGTCCTTAATATTCAATGGAATTTTATCTCAATTCAAATGAATATATATATATGACACTGCATCAAAACATTTGTTCTAAATCATGTTATCTTCAATTTAACTTTGTTATTGTAATTGTAAACACATCTCAGTCCTACAGGAGGTCGGTCGCGGCCCTGATATCTCAGTGGTAACGTCTCTGATTGTGAGGCCGGGTGACACGGGTTCGAATCGGTCGGGGGTCAACAGTTGTCTCAAGATTTCAGGTACACCATGCTGACAAGTGCCAAGTAGCACGAAACCTAGGTCCGGGGTTTCTTGTTCACTACCTCCAACCACCATCTTATCTCATAATAGTGCACTCAATATCTAGTCACCTAGACTAATGTCCACATTGCAACTTGGTCGATTGGATTCGATCGGCATTAAGAAGGACCTGACATACATGACATCGATCACCACCCAGTGACTGTATTTACTTACAGTTCTTATAATTACCAAAACTACCACTTCCCCTTACAATGATATCTAGGTGTATTGTGAACTTTTTCCGAAATGTATGGGGATTTTACTTACTATTCATTCCAACAGATAATAGGACATTTTGAATTGTGTCTATATATGGTAATTGGTTTGATGAATATGTTGAGATTTCATAATTCTATTACTCATGATCACATGATTAGTTGAAATTGGATTCTATTTTTATATTGATTCCAATTATTGTTCTGCTATATCGATGTTTTCACTTTCTACTGAGACTTTTGAAATTGAACTTAAAGTAGTAATAACCATGTATGTATACATGTATAACTCAATGTGTGTTACGTGTTCCTTTATATATTGGTTTAGCTTGTCTTCCTAATTATCCCAGACTGATATTTTCTCTGAAAAGTGTTTTCCGTGATAAGATAGCACTTGTGTCTTTTCGTTTCAGTTTCAATCCAATATACAATATGACCTTATTGTTTCTAATGTCTCAAACTTAGCATAGTCTAATCCATCTTATGAATAATATGGGATATAATTTATCTTCATAAATGTTCTACCCATGTCCGGACACATTTGTAATTAGAAACCCATAACCATTTTTCTAAACTATTGTAAAACTGGCACTACATCTTTCTGATTTGCATTATTTTGAATTTAGCATTTAAACTCGTGCCCTATCTGTTTTCTTATGAGTTTGTTTTAATCATAAAAATTCATTGTCCAGGGACATTTTTCTAATAATTTTTTAGATCCTACAATAAATGCAGAGCATGGTATTGAATCGAATAAAATTCCAGTATCAATAAATTTCAAAAGCTTTGTACGAACCACAAGTGATTATGATGTTCAGCATGAGGTTTTGTAAGAGATTAGACTAAACTAAGTAATTGCTCTAATCTAAAGTGAAATATGTGCAAAAAATAATGTAGTCAAATGCCTAAATCTGAATGGACTGAGTAACTATTTAAGCATTCTGGAAAGGCTGTTCATTTCACTCAATATCTCACGAGATTTAGGAATTAATGAGTGCCTTTAATAAATTTCATCTTCAAATTAATGTTGACGCTAAATGCAACATGTTTAGACTTCCATCTTATTTCATAGATAAGTACTATCGATTTGGTACTTTGCATAGCTTATACTCACGTTGAGTTAAGTGAATGACTGTATTAAGATGTTCTATTTTCAAGGATATTAATGTACACGTACCTATATTATAGACTCATCTTACCGAAATAAGCTATGCTCTCAACAGAAATTTAGATCTCTTACTATAGAGTAACTGATTTAAAAGTAGTATCCATTCAAAAGAGTGTACATTAATAAGAGCGACTATCAGAAAAGCATATATTGATAAAGGTGAGTATTGAAATGTCCTTTCTGCTCTCCCGAAAAAATTAATGAACTTTATTCTGTCGATTGTTGACATCTGCGATAATAAAATACAAATGACTGGGTTTTGTTTAATACTAATTAGCTGAAGAGGTCAATCGGTTGTTGATGGTTTCGATTGATGGTTTTAATTTCTAGTCATTTCTTATTACTACCTTCATGTTTTTAAGTGGTCAATTATCTTCTAGATATTTGATTTTTTCTAATTTTTTTTCTTGATCGTTACGCAGTATTATTTCGATCCTTGGAATTGAGAGAGAGGTTATAGGCATTAAAACGTAAGTGACATAGACATTCAAGATTCGGACATCAACTTCCCAGCATGTTAATAACTCATCAGTCTAAGAGGGCATTTATTAAGACAATAAAATAATCCCGACAATACGTTAACTAACTGAATATAATACATTAAGTGAGAGCATTAAAAGGGAGTAACATCAGTTTAGTTTAGATGTAAATGTTACGTACATTATAAAATTTTCGTAACACAGTTTACCATTTTAGATGTGCAAATTCACATTATGTGCCATTCCACGCAGATAGTCTAGTGTAGATCTATTTACGTAATCTTCTACGAACAATTTGATACATACTGCTACCTCTCCATACTTTCTTTTTACTTCCTGTCCATGAATTCCTGCAAGAGACTGTTTGATTTTCAATCTATTTAGACTCTATTCCCTTTTTACAGCATTAATCAATTTCTATATACTTGGATGAGCGGTACTAATAACTTGGCTAAAGCCTCTATACCACCATTCCACCACATTATTCGTTTTCGGAAAGCCCTCCACAGCAAAATTAGAATGGTAAATATTTTACATCATGAAAAATCTTATTCCCTTTCAATCCTCAACTTCATTAACATGCACCTTTTTGATGGTCGCCCTTTTACTCACGCCATTAATAGTGTGAACCTTTGAAAATATGGAAAACTTTTTATAGAACCACGGAATAAATTTAACAAGTACTAGAACCAACAATTTAATTACAAATAGTTAAATCAGTTTCAACGTTATTTTAGACGTCAACTTTGGTTTTCGATTGCTACTCGTAAATCGTACACTAAAATTTTTGATGATAATGCCTCGAGGTTTAAGCAATTTTTACACATGTAGTACTACATTTATTTGATAACACTAATTACGATTATTTCAGTTTTCTGGAAGTTTACCAAAGTGTTTTATGGAAGTAACAAAATTTAACTAGACTACTTTAACAATAGCGTTACGAATATCCATAAGATTTTGTTTCTAAATACTATTGACAGGAATTCTCAATCGTTGCTAGTTAGTAGTATACAACTTTAGCACACATCCTGCCAGTTATTATGTGTTACTACAATAGCTTGTCAGTTGTTTGAAAAAAAACTCCCAGATCTAAACGAATAGGTTTATATGAATAGAGCAAGAACAACGGACGTGACAGAATCAGTCAGTCAGTCAGCTACAACGTAGGACCAGGCACATATATGTATCGGTCCAAGTTGCCACACCTCATTAGCACAACAAGATGAACACCGAATTCATAGAAGGGGTTAATTCAGTGGTGGCAATACATAAAAAATTGCATGTAAAGATATAGTACAGAAAGAAAGGTATAAGATAATTTTATTCTCACAGTTTAAGGGAAGACAAAGAGTGTATAAGACTACGCCGTTGTGATCGATTCTGAGCCATGTCACAAAGAATCTCCAACAATTGGTTACGATAGTTACGCGGACGCAAACCAAGTAGTCTGCATCTACCAACATGGCTAAGACTAGAAGTTAGTGACTTCAAGCACTGATGCCACATTTTGGTTTGGCTGCCTTTAACTTTCTTCCAACCATGCCTAACACTAGTCAGCATTGTGCGTCGTGGTAATCGGTGTTCAGGCATACGTAACACGTGGCCCAACCATCTCAGTCGATGAAGATTCACAACCTGATCAACTGATTTACCGTCATTCCCTAATACCCTGCGTCTAACCTCACTATTACTTACCTGGTGATCCCAGCAATATTTCTAAGGCATCTGTGGTCAAATTCTAGTAGCTTACGAGTGTCTTCTACTCTTAATGGTCATGTTTCGCTGTCGTAAATTAAAACAGAACGGACTGCCGCGCAGTATACTCTTCCTTTAATTGATAGACGGATATCTCGCCTTCGCCATAGGTGACGTAAGTTGGCAAAAGCCAAGCGAGCTTTCTCAATCCGTGCAGAGATTTCGTCAGACACCAACCCATTAGGATCGATAAGACTTCCAAGATAATATAAGTGCTATGAGTACTATGTCTGATCGCTGAGCTTTATGAAGCAGTTTAGAGAGCTTTCTGTAAAAATCATCCTTCACTTTATCCGGGCTGCAGTCAATGGGAGCGTAGGCAGAAACGACGAAAAGGCAACGACGTGTGTCCATATCCTTCCGAGTTCTTACGGAATCGTTTAGCCGAACAGCACATAGACAACTGTTAACGGGCATCCACTCTAACAGTGCTTGTTCCGCCCTCATGCTTAGTGCTATGCCCAAACCTACCAGTCCACAAGAATCAGCCATGGAGTTGTCAGATACACGGATAGTGTGTCTCGTCGGCTCTCCGTTTTGGCGAGGTGAGGTCAAGTGAATGACCACACTAGGATCCTGTATGCGTGTTTCGAATACACAGCATACATAAATGGTACGAGATTCTAGGGTTTTAGCCAAGGAAGCCTGCTGACCGATTTGACATAGGGTGCGTGCGTTGAAGGCTCCAATGTGTAGTTTGTAGCGAGGTTTCAGTAGACCTGGGACAGTGTTTCGCGCACTAGAATCGTTGGCTATGGTGACACTTGAGGAGGAAGCCAAAAGAGTAAGTTTAGAGTTGAAATTCGATGTAGGAGTAATGATAAGAATTGAAGGGGTTGATTATGAATACAGTTGTCTTAAATACTGCTAGAGGTATGAGGGCAGTTATCAGTTATTGGTAACCTACACCGTGGAGGGGTTCTTTTAAAGGTACAGTCGGCAGTACGACTGCCCTCATACCTTGGGTTTGCTGCTCGTAGTCTTTCCGCTGCTCAACCTATCTGTCTTCATCTTTTATTCTCAATTTCTGAGGACCATTGTCAAAGATGAAAACACTAACTCTCCTTTCTGTTCTCTCAATGTCAGCGCTTCGGCATATGTAAACTAGTGTACATAATTATGGCTAACATTAAATGGTTATCTGTCCACTTTGAATGTTTCAGCGAGATGGTGATGAAATGCAAGTGTGGTTGAGATCTTGTCTTTTTGAAATATGCTTATTTTAATGTTAACAAATATCCTTTTTAAGCAATTCTAATTCCTACTATTTTTACTGTCAATCGGCAAACCTTTAGCTGGTTCAGTTCAGGATGTCAATAAACTTAATAGTCCAATTTCAAAAGCTTCCAAGTCAATTCAGTGCTCAATTGACAAACCAACTACAAATTCTGTTGAAATTCATTGTGATATTTTAAGCGTCATTAAAAATGATGATTTCTCATTTGTTCTCGATGAGAACAGTAAATTAATTGCTCAAGTAAGTATTTCAAATCATTATCATTAAATATTTAGCCTACTTGATGTAAAATTTTGTTTTATTAACTGCAAGGCGCACTTCAGATGTTCCCGTTGAAAAGTAACCACGAGAGTGACAGATCTTCATAGTCGGTAACACAGTCTATTACTTGTTACGTATAAAACACAAGAACTAAATAAGGTCTGATTAAACTTGAATGGATAGTACAACTTTAGATTCTTTAGTGAAATTTAGCTAACGTTTCCTTGATTTCAATACCATGAGAAAGTTTGGTAATCTCCTAGTTGTAATATGAATTTCTTTTTAAAGGAATTTATTGAAATGGAAGAAACTGTAGACGTTGTGCTTCAGATACTTAACTCGAATAATATTTTTGTCAAATAATCAAGCTGCCTTTATCCAATACTTCTAAACTGTTCGACTACTTTTGGTGCTGTTCATTATACCACATGGAGACTTACTATAGATCAGATTATTTCTAACACGTATCAGTACTATAAACATGTGATATTTCAGTACTCACATAATTGTTACAAAAACTGTCACTTGTTTTGATGACAGTCAGTCGTGTAGTCTTCAATGTTTTTCTTGTCTTTCTATATAATTGTTGACTAGTACACAATAACCTAGAACACCGACGTCAGTTATGCGGAAAGACCGATATGATCATTCCCAAGCAAAATTAATCTACGATTTTGAGCAAACATCAATGATTATAAGTGAGCTGAATACTTAACTGAAAATACTAATTACAGTCCTTATTATTTTTTTAATTATTAACTAATCTGTAAGCATATTAAAACCCATTTCTCATTTACCACTTCAAGAGAAATCGGTCTTCATTTATGACTTAATTCTAACGATAAAATTATTCAGTACGATTATTGAACTAATATCATTATCAATGACAAATTCTAATAAATCAGGTTAAATATAAAGATGTAAGCCAAACGCTATGCCTAAATTTAAATAAAGTTTGTGATTTACGTTACTGATAAATACCACTTTTCTACAATCGTTTCTATAATCAAAATGTCCCATAAATATTTCACTCGTTTTGCATCTTGTAATGGTTCATTAAACTAAATTTTTGCTATGTTCGAGACATTATGATTTTGCATTCTATCGGCGAACGAAACGTAAACCAGCAACGCAATAACAGGACGAATCTAAGCTATCCATCTGCGCCTCAGCCCTGCTAACTAAAGGAAGAAGACGAAATTCACTGGGGAAAACAAATCATCCGACAAACAGCTCGTAAAAAATGAAAAAAAAAACAAATACTTAACTCATGCATGATATATACAACACAGAAATGTCTTTGAAAAGCGTCACGGAATACCATACTGAAAGAGAAAACGAGCCAATGACGTTTAAAATCCTTCTGGTTGGGAAACAAAAACGGAAGGTAATGAATGCCTTTGGCGCGAAAATGAGAAATTCAAAGTTCCATAATTGAATTACAAAATAAGAAGTCCAACCAAGTTATTTCCGGAAATTTAGCATCACCAACAATTTCCTTACCGTTTACTCTTTGTTAAGAATTATCTAATAATAAATTATGATTTGAAATATCCTTAAGCACTTTTCATTAATTGAACAGGTGAATGTATGCTGTTTTCTAATCACTCTGATATCAGCTATTTATGTTTCATTTAGTATGTTTGATTCTGTGAAACAAAATTCTAAATTTTTCCGTAATTAGGTTTTTGCATGGCAAACGACAACTTCAGGATTTTTGTCGGAATGCGCTTCGAAAATATATTTTGAAGTTTAATAACATAGAGCTGGGCTTCGAAAATTATTTTGAAGCCTAAGGGTATAGCTAGTTATTTTTAATATGTTTAAGTTCTTATTCTTTAGATTTCAGTGCAGTGATTTAGGTTTTCCTGTTGTCTCACTACTATGTTAAACAACCATACAAAAACTATCAGCACTTTTGGATTATCATAATCTTCTATTGATTCTAATTTGCAGCAAAAAGCACATATTGAACATTTAAAGCATGCTCTATCATCAGAACAAAATAAAGTTCAAGGTCTACATAGTCAGTTGTGCAAAAATCAACTCGAATTTGACAAAGCTAAATTAGGCTGGTTGCAGAAAGAAAATCAGTTTAAAGTGAGTTAAGAAACTGTTGACCATTTTAAACCGCATTTCTGCTCTATATGATAATAACGATTCAGATCTACGTCTTCTTCATTAGTTTATATATCATGCGGGCGAACAGTTCATCAGACAAAATTAATTAGATTGAATTCATATTTTTAATACAAATATATAAATATGAGTATAAATAATAGATTTTTAGTAGTATCCTAGTTACTGCAATATTTCATAATTAATTGTTTTAATATTTCCATATAATTTAAAATGAGTAATACAAAAAAAGTATAGTGCATCGAAAACGTATCTTATTGGCAGTTCGTATAATTAATCGTTTGTTTGATTGACAAAAAAAATAGTTCAAACTAAGTCTACGTGAATGAATTAAACTTCATCCGTTAGTTTAAATTAATGTAGTTTACTCACTGATTGGTTTAGTTTGTGGTGTCCATATCAGTTTTATCTATGATGTGTGATATCTCTGAAATAATTGATTTCAAAATGATTGGATCGATGAATAGTTGGTTTCTATTATCGACATCTGGATTTTAATATCATCATTTGACTTATCAACAGCATCAATTTGCAAATATTGTTTTACTTTATAGATAAACTAACTTTGATTAATCCTTGTATTTATTTTTTTCGAGCTTTCTTAGTTATTAACCTTGTAGAATATAAGAGAAGACTTGGATGTGAGCATTAGTTATAATCTTCGGGTGTGTATTTTTCATGAACTAAAGTTCAAAATCCTACAAACTTAATCTTCTTTTGTGAGGAGAATCAACTTTATACATTTCCATTAAGATTACCTTCAGTGATACTTGACTGCATCCAAACAGTTTAATTCGATCTCAATAGCTTCTTGAACGGTGTCTAAAACTGTTGAAGAAATCCCAAAATATTCCTTGTCGAAGTCCCTAGAGGCCCAGAAACAATAGGAAACATTTTACCCAATCAGCTTTAAATGGAATTTTTTCATAAACATCTGGAAGATGCAAAGTAACGTTCAACGGTTTTGATTCAGCATTTACCCACACCACTATATAGTTTGGTGACAAAATTTTCCGGAAGCCCAAGTTAGTGTTAACATATAAATACCGTCGTTCTTAAGTACATAAACCAACCTTGGAGTTAAGCTTTTACTTGCATTCGCACATTCTCTCTAGCGCTCCAGATAATGTGTATTAGTAGCTGGAGTTATCGGGAATGGCTGAGTACAGTTTATGCATATCAGTTGAAAGACTTATCAAAACACTATAAAACTTTAATTGATTATGTAGAACGGAATAAATTGATCGCAAAAACAGTTCCCTGTTATTTCAGTATACGTAATCGAGGTTCAGTACTATAAGAAACATCAAGACGATGTTCTTTGCTTTCGACTAGTTTCATAGCTAAATCTGGGATTAACAAACCAGTAGTATTAGAAAAGGCAATGGACAGAAAGAAAGTATGTTTATTTAAGAGGTTACGAAGTATTTACATAATACATATACTTTTTCTTCAGTCGTCCATTTTCATTTTTCAATGTGTTCTATCTTCTCGTTTTAACAGAAAGTCCCCTAGTAGCAATAAAACCACTCCATGTTCTTAAACATTTGTCAAAAATTTATGTCAACCGAATAAGATAATAAAGCATATTATAAGACTGTCCCAATGCACACCGCTTTCTGCATCTTCGCGGCAGGACGGCTGTTAGTGGTAGTGGGTGAACGAAAAACCAATGTCTATCGCTTAAACCGGGTTGGCGGATACGGAGGATCCATATGTGTGTGTGTTGGAAAACCTTGGTTTCAAGTCAATAGCGCAAATAGACCCCAGGGTATTGAGGGATCAAATGGTATATGAACCTACTTTTAGTCACCAAGTACCATGGGATCATATCTCCTGACCTTGCTGCCCTTCCTTTTTGATTAGATCTCTAGATCAAAGACCTGAAGAGTGTCCTTCTAAGACAACCCTCTGATTCTGTCTGGATACGTGGGAAGTATCACAGTTTACGAAACGTTTGATGGTGACTACAGCCGAAGAAAATACTCTCGTTCCTATTCCCGTTCTCACAACTATTTAGTAACATTCACTTGTATTTTACATTGCATCGCGTATCTGTTCTCTTTTATTCCCGCTTCGTGTATTCCTTTATCCTTCAACTCATACAGCCGTTCACCTATGGTGTAACTTCTGTCCCATTTAAACGATCTCAAGTCACTGACTGGTCAAGGGTTAAGCGCTAGCACCGAACACGAGTTCTGAACCAGCCTTTCTGAATCCACCTATGCCACCCTAACTAGCCTCCTTCAAAAAGCACACACTAATCCAGATCGGACAACAGATAGGGTTGGCTATGTCTTCAGAAGGTTTCAACATCGATGTCTGTTGTCTATCCGATATCTGTATTCAAGACTCTAGTGAAGAACTGTAAATTGGCTCTCCATCTGTTGCTTCAAAAGCTTGTTTCGTGTGTGGTTATCCAGGGACCCTGTGACGTCTTCGTCCGGTTTTTGTAGCGTTGGCGTTGCACTAAGCGCCAGAATATAAGCAGGACTAATCTATTGGGTCCCAATCAACGGTCGATTATTTACTACTAAATAAGTATGCCTCATCAATTTGGGAAGAAATCGATGTGGGAAACGATTACTTTTCTTGATCTCTGCCTATGCCGCAACAAATTGCCTGGATTCTATCAAGGATGAGTCCTACCACCAGTTAAGTGGTCTCCGGAAAGTGCGTCCAACAGATATTGTGGTACTAGCCGGAGATTCGAATGTGCAGATCGGGCGTCTAGAGACCGAGCGGATCCGTTTGAGTAGCCAATGGGAACTCGTCGGTTGCAGGTCAGAGAACGGTGCTGTCATCCACAAAATTCAGTCAGTCAGTAACAACGTAGAACTTCGTACGTACGCACGTACATCGGTTCGAGTTGCCACACCACATTAGCACAGAGATGCAGTGGTCGATTCAAATCCCGTAGTGGCAGAGGTAATGAGAGTATAAGCAGTAATCGGGAAGATTAATGTTTGGAGATGTTACTTAAAGAGTATAATACAGTGAAATAAATCTGGGAAGAGAAAAAAAGAGGCAAGGAGGAATAAGGAGATCAAAATTCGGGAGAACACAAAGAATGTATGCACCTGCGCCATTGCAAACAATTTCGAGCCATCTCATTCAGGGTCTCTAACCATCGGTTGCTATCATCTCGTGGTCCCCAACCAGGTAGTCTACACCTACCAACATGACTCAGTCCACTTGTCAGTGACTTCATGGACTTGTGCCATGTTTTGTTCTGGCCGCCCCTAGCATTCTTCCAACCTACTCCTATAACACTGAGCATCGCATGTCGAGGCAGTCGGTCGTTCGGCATACGTAACACGTGTCCCAGCCATCTCAACTGATGAAGATTCACTACTTCATTAATTGATTTGCCATCCTTACCTAGTACCCGTTTCCTAACAACTGTATTGCTTACTCGGTGGTCCCAGTATATACGCGCAATATATCGAAGACACCTATGTTCAAATGCTAGTAAACTACGGATATCCTTTACTCTTACCCGCCAAGTTTCAGTGCCATAAAGTAGGACGGAACGAACTGCTGCGCAGTAAACCTGTCCTTTGGTTGATAGACGGATATCTCGCCTACGCCATAAATGACGCAAGTTGGTAAAAGCTAGTCGAGCCTTTTGTATCCGTGCTGAGATTTCGTCACACACCAGACCACAAGGGCTAGTGAGACTCCCAAGATAAGTGAAGCGGTCGACACGCTCAACTACTTCACTCCCTATCATTAGTTCGGGTGTCAATGTAATCCAATCCTCGAGCAGTATTTTGCATTTCGAAGGAGAGAATCGCATGCCGAATATGCTTGCATTGTTGCTTAGAGTGGTCAGAAGACTGCATTTTGTCAGCGTCTTCACCAAATAGAACAATGTCATCAGCATATTCTAGGTCAAAAAGTGAATTTCCCGATAAAAGTTCAACTCCTGGAAATTTAGATGAGGAAAGTGTTATCTCTAAAAGTACGTCGACGACAAAACCGACCAAGAATGGAGAGAGTGGACAGCCCTGACGAACACCACTTGACGTAATCAATTCTGATGACAGTTATCCATAAGCTCTCACTCTACCAGTTGTGTTCGAGTAGAGAGCCTTTATAAGGTTAATGTACTTCTTTGGTACTCCTTTCAGTTATAAACACTGCTATTGAACCTCGAATACTGGCTTATGGTCGAGAAATACTACGATTGTGGGGCGTCTGAATGTGTGTCTGTATTCTAGAACCTGACGTAGTGTGCATATCTGGTCTATACAACCACGTCCAGATTGAAAACCAGTCTGGTTTTCTCTAGTCTGCTCTTCACGAGCTTTAGTTATGCGTCGAAGTATTATTGAAGCTAAACTTTTAGATACTATATTTGTCAAACTGATTCCTCTGTGATTTTCACAAGAGGACTTTTGTCCTTTCTTATAGACTGGCATAATCAGTGATTGAGACCAGTCAGATGGGATTACGTACAGTTCCCAAATTGTACCTAACACCTCAGTTAATCTCACTGCTAATACTGGACCACCATCCTTAAAAATCTCAGGGTTAAACCTTTCAGGGCCTGCTGCTCTCCCTTGCTTCAGATTTTCTATAGCTTTTTCAATTTCGTAAAGAGTCGGAGGATCTTCATTAACTTGCCATTTTGGGTGACTGCAGATCGTGAGAAATAGAAGTGTGGCTGAATGTCACTTCAACTGGTCCCTAGTGTTCACTGCCATTCACACAGCTTTTTGGATATCATTCCATGCTGCCTCGGGGTGGGCACCACTTACATGGCTGCCTAACTGTTTTTCTAGTTGTTACTGAAATATATTCTTAGCTTGGCTATCATTAAGTAGAACCCTAAGATGTTTACTTGCAGCGTCTTTCCTACGTCCAGTAAGACGCAGACAAATACGCTCTCGCACAATAGCATGATCTGAATCTAAACATGTGCTCAAGAACGAGCGACAGTCTTCCAGCGAGCCCCTACATCGGTGGCTGATGGAGATGTGATATAGTTGGGTCCAACATTGGGATGAGTTCTCGGGTCGTCATGTCAAAAGGTGTTTTTCCTTATGCTTAAAGTTAGTATTTGCAAGGAACAGGCGGTTATCTGAGCATAGTTGCAACAGACGGTCGCCATTATCTGTTCTTTGAGCCACGATGCTATAAGATCCACCCAGGTGTCTTTCCCTATCGCTTAGTTTACCTACTTGAGCATTAAAGTCACCGGCGACTATTACTACATCCAAGCGCCTAACTTTTTGGCGGAGATTGGATAGCTTTCTGTAAAACTCATCTTTTACCTCATCTGCGCTGCAGTCAGTGGGAGAGTATTCAGAGACGACGAAGAGGCAACGGCGAGTGTCCATATCTTTCTGAGTTCTTACTGTTCCGTTTAGTCGGACGGAACAGAAACGACTATCTACTGGGATCCAGTCTAAGAGAGCTAGTTCTGTTCTAGGACTCAACGCTATGCCTACACCAGCGAGGCCACGGGAAGCAGAATCAAGGCTTCCAGATACACAAAGCGTGAAGTGAGATGACCCTTTATTTTGATATGGTGAGGTCAAATGAATGACGCTACTCGGATCCTGTACGCGCGTTTCGGAGACGCAGCACACATTTATGGCGCGAGATTCCAATGTCCTAGCTAAGGAAGCCTGATGTTTTATTTGGCACAGTGTTCGGACGTTAAAAGCTCCTACATGTAGTTTAGTGCGTGGTTTCAGTATACCAGGAATAACGTTCCGCGTACTCGAATCGTTTGCCTTAGCGGTGCGAGGTGATAAAGAGACGTGAGAAGAGTTAGTCATGGAGATAAGAGAGGTATTAGGAGGTGTAGGAAGGATTTGAATGTGACCAACTTGGTCTCGTGTGTTGTTACGGGTATGAGGGCTGATATCACTTCTCGGCTGCCTACACCGTGGAGTGTGACCGCAGAGCCCAAGGGACAACTGCCTAAGCCGGTCGCGCACGGCCTTTTCGTGGAAGGTTTTTAATGTGTTATCTCCGTTCTTCAAAGGGCCTTACCGCCGGAGACGAAAATCCGTGAGGTAAGGTGAGGTGTGACATTTTTAGGGTCGGCCTTTTCTAACACCACTCCTCCTTGTGGGAAGGCAGCATCGATGTCATGCTGGCTGTCCGAGGGAAAAACCTTGTCACACCCCTCTACAGTCAGTAGTACGACTTTTCCCTCAGACCTTGAGTTGCTGCTTTTAGTCTTACCGTTCTCCAATCGACCTGCCTGGCATGGTAGAACCTACAGGAACATATGTTCCAGCCAATATAGCACGGTTGGGACATCACGATAAGCAAGCCCGACCACCGCGTCAAGGTAGCAGCCTCGGTCGGGTCACAAAGTTCAAATCATCCAAATGGTTGTGGACGAAATAGAAGCCTTCGCTTAACAGGCTTCAGTGTCTAGTAGTAGAGGATCACCGATACGGGTACAGAAGTGTTAAGGATACTGTAAGCCACCAGAAGGTCACCTCTAAGACGCCTGTACTCTAATGGGTAAAGGAGGGGTTCTTCACAAGGTTTGAATTTGAGTCCCCGAACTGATTTCGTGGCTCGCCGTTGGATACGCTTCAGTGTCCTTATCCTTTTGGAGTGAGGGAGGAAATACTATGTTCCCGTACTCTAAATAGGGACGAATAAAACTGTTAAAGGTTGTGTGGAAAGTTCTTCCGTCAAACTGGCCAAAAATGCGCTTCAATGTTACCAGTGCAAGATTTGCTCGGAAGGCATTTTTGTCACAGTTAGCGTAAGACTTTAGATCGTAGAGCACCAGGACTCCCAAATCTTTTTCGACTTGAGATGCTACTAGGGAGGAGTTTCTTAAGTTGTAACTGTAGTCTGCGACATGTCGCAGATGGACTACTTTACACTTTGAAGTGTTAAAGGTAAGTCCAGCTGCTTTCAATGTTCACTGTACTCTGTGCTGTGGACATCTTCGTACTTCAGTCAAAAACTAGAAGGAAGATAAATGGCAAGAATAAGCTTCCTTTTCTGACACTAGTGGTCATTCGGAAAGCATCTGTGAGCTGCCCTCTACGCACAGCTCTGCAGTTCGGTCCATCGTAGGGAGTCTTGTATCCCAACGAAGATGTTGTTATGTACTTCGTGGTGTTGACGAGGATTACACAAGGTTTACACTGTCGAATTCTTTCCATTAATGAAGTACATGCATAGCAATGAGATCCATTCAATTGACTGCTGCATAATAATCGTCATTGTCGCATTTTGGTCAGTATACGATTGATCCATACGAAAACCAGCTTGTTGATCTCGAAGTTGAGTAACTACTGAATCTTTCACTCGGTCCAGTAACACTGTTCGAAAATTTGTCTAGTACTGACAATAGTTTTTAAACCTACGAAGATCTCATTTTTCTAGTATTCTTATGAGGTATCCGTTTTTGTAATCTGTTGGGACTTGTTTTTCCTCTCAAATCTTTCTAATGAGGACATTGAAATCTTTGGAGTTACTTTTATGTCTGAATCCATTACTTCGGTTGGTATACTGTCTGGTCCTAGAACTTGTTAGTATCTCAAGCCTTTTTGCAAGTTGAGGATGCTAACTTCACGCCTAATCGTCCCACTTTACCCGAACTTGGAACCTGAAGTAGCTTCAGATGGAGTTATTGACATTGATGAGTAAGCATAATCTTTATCAATCAGAACGCAACCCAATGAAATTCCATTCAGGATATTTCACTGAAGCTACAAACACAAATACAGAATTAGTTGCAAATGAAACAAAAATTATTCACAAGGACAAATTCCACAATATCTTAGATCAGTTGCATGACCCCTAATTGTCATCTGAAAATCGTTTGATCAGTAATCAAGATATTAATCATGTAATCATTGACAATGATCTATGGTTGATTTTCGGTATTAACTAAACCATTGTTTATATGATAAAATTCTTAAATCAATCATTTTTTTTAGATTTTAACAACTCTGCTGTCTAATATGACCGCAACAAAAACAAAGGATTGTAATGTTCCCAGAACACAATAAAACATGCTTTTCTACTGGCTTAGCACTAACCGATAATCAATATAATTTTTTATTGTTGATCCGTTTAGATCGTCGCACATATTTCTGGAAGAAACATTTCACAGATATGACAACACAAACAGATTAACACCGATTGAATTAAGGTTTTAAGTGATTTTATGCTAAACAACTATACATATGAACAGTGACAATTTATTTAGATTTATTTAAGATATGAATAATTCTCATAACTACCGTTTATGTGAGACTACAGATTGTTGATTTTACAGTGTAAATAATTAAATGTACATATATATAAAACAGCAAAAGCGTAGTCTGTGAAAATGAAGTTTATCACCAAACACGAATTTGTTCGGGAGTCAAGCGCTTAAATACACTTAAAGGTTTTATTAGCAAAACCACAGAACTAACTAAGCATTTTCTAGTTTTACAAGCGTTACATCCTTATCTCCCAAATTGGCGGATCAAATGTAGCTTTTTCTAAATAACTTTTTATTTATCGTAAAATATACTTAGATACTTATTTATCAAGATAATAATATGATCAGTTATACTTTATAGTTAGGTAATCACAGGGGCTGTCAGAGATATATTAGTTGTTGTGGCTTCTTCGTTGTCTATACTGTGAAAGGAATGTTCTTGATCACCTGAGAGCGTATCCACGACGTCCAAAAGACAACTGGTTAAGGCCAGTTACACACGACCTTTTTCCGAGTTTTGAATGAACTAACCCCTTACTTTTAATGCTTTACCGCTGGAAACGGACAAAAAAGAGATTTACTGCCTTCAATACGGACCTATTTTAACCCATTTTCTCCGTTGTCAAAAGACACATCTAAGGAATAAACCTTATTCCCTTCACACCATTATACAAATAACGCTATGACTAAGCCGTCGAATCTTAAGCTGGTGTTTTTAGTTTTACCTCTCTCCAATGAATCTGCCTGACATGATATGATCTAACAAATGAGGTATTCCAGCCATTAAAGTTTGGTTAGGTCACTATAATAGGTAACCTAGACCACTATATTAAAGTACCAGCTTCGGTATCTTCTTCCGAATAATCGATGATGGTCAGAAATAATGAATAATTTCTGTCTGTCTATGGATGGAATATCTTTTTCATGTTTTCTGTGTTTTCAACAATAATATAATGGGTCGAATATTGTGATATTTTGAACTAATTTACGTAAAGTTGTTTTTTATATTGCAGTTGTAAAATTATTAGTCACTTGAATTCTTGTACTTTAATATTTTCCTATCCTTAGGTTTTCTTTAAGTAAATAAACCTCTGTTATTTTCTAATTCCCTTAAGTTACTGTTAACTCACTACTCACTTATTATTCAGCTCTCCACCGCCTATCGTGTAGTCATGTTTACGTTTGACTATCTTGTTTATTTGCTCTGTTTTCAGTCAGTTAGCCTAGATTATCACACGACTTTAAGTTCTGAACGAAACAGTACGATGGAAGTCTCTACTTGCTGTGTTCTTGTTCTATTCTTTATATTGGATAAAAAAATATGAGACTGCATCGTGAAACAGTAGGTCTTAAGTATTGATTCTGGATGTTATTTCATTGTCACTGAGTTATTGGTAAAAAAAAAGATAATTTTGTCTTTGACAAACAAGTCCTCAGTCTTATACAGGTAATTTAGGTTCGCTAATCAATAATCCAACTAGACATACAATTCCTCTCATAATTATTGCCCGATTACACAGACACCAATACAATACAAGTATCTGTTACTTTTTTACTTACATCAATCATTTATTTATCTTTACTGGCGTGAAGGCAAAGTGTAATAATCCATAGGATGGTTTGATTAAGATAATCAAATCTATCTATACTTGATCTGACCGCTAATTAACTTCTATGAGCATTTGTAGCTCCCATGGAAAGAATCAATGAGGTAGTGTCGATTGTATGTCTCATGAATATAAAATGAATGTGATGGTGTCTAGAAGGTAAGACAATGATTGTTTGATTTGGATAAGTTTACTGAGTTACTTTTTTTCTTTATTATCCTGCAGTTTTTTACCTCTAGATATTAAAAGTTTTCTGTTGCTTTATTTTCACTGTGATTTCTAATCAAAAGCTATTTATCTGAGGAATATCTTTAAACAACATTTCAGCTAGAAAAGGACCGGTTTCATAGAAAGATCTCTGTTGTTGTCACTGCTAAAGAACAAGTATCAAAAAATCTTGAAATTTCACGAGAATATATAAAACTCTTGAAAGAACGCATTTCTATGTTGGAACAGTGTTATTCAAACATAATTCCGAATCCACGTAACTCAGAGCATTTTTCACAAGAACGATCTGACAATTTCCCAACAGAGCGAACGCATTGCAAACGGTATCTAAAAAATATTGATTCAATTAGATCAACACCAGATTTATCAGCTACTTTTCCTACCTTAAGCAAACTTCTTTCTCTCAGTAGTGAATATCGAGATCCTCATGAAGGTGTGACACCAAAGGTTCTTCAGCGTCTAACTAATCAATCATGTCAAACGAACAAACGTGTTCACAACTACATCAGGTAAGCTTAGCCATCTTGATCAAATGTTCACCACGTTTCTCAGCATACACCACCTATGAATTATTCTTTAATTTGCTTTTGATCAATAGACACAGTAATTGAATTGACAATTGGTCACATAGTATACTGTTCTGCTACAAGTTTTTGCTCAATTTTAGTTCAGTATCTACTTGCCAGATATATACATTAATCGCTATATCGTCCAAAACTAATTTTTGGTATCCAAGCCTTAACATTTTGCACTATAAATTCACAAAATAAGATAGACAGTATCTACCATTTTGACTAGCAAACACATGTTATGGTGTAGAAGATAATCTTTTTGCTAAGTAAAAACAAATTTCCTTAAATTTAACTGAAACTTGCAGAATTTATGTTCACACGCGAAAATAAGAAATGGTAGATTTAGATCCCCGTTATTGAAAGCCCGTTGGCTCACTGTTTCGTAGTGTTTTGTGTGAAGTTTTATTTTCAGAGCTGGGTAATTTAGCCATAAAGTTTTGCTTAACTTTCTGGACATCATCTACCTGAACTTCGTATGAATTTCTGTCAGAATTTGACAATATTTATGGTAATTTGATTTTTCACAAAAAGACATATTACCACGTAAAGGGTACTGAAAATAGGCTAGGTTAAACAATATATTATTGAAAAATAAAGTCATTCATAAAGTAATATTTTCAATTAATTCTTAAGTCTCACAATCATTCTATACCACATCAGTAGAAAATTCGGTTTTGAAATATTTTTTTCACCAGTAATTTAAAAAATGTTTGTCAAATGTAGTGTTAAAGAACTATGTAGGTCATAGATAGTTTCACTCAACCGCTCCAGAGAAGGCGTCTTAATCGGAACTGTGGCGTTAAGCATTCTTATCTATCTGACCACATGTTTTGTTGAGAATAACATGCACTTTCAGGTCGACTATATCCAGCATATAAAACTTGACTCCCCATCACCCATAACTTTTACTGAAGGTTGATCTTTCAATATTCTTTGTCTTACCGAAAATAGGCTGACTTCTTTAACTAATTGACCACTTTTTGCTCAGTGATTTACAAAGTGGAAAGAAAATACGAACATAAAATATTCTAACTGATAAATTATCGCTATTTACATTCCCAGTAGTTGCTTATTCACTATTTTTAACAGACCATCATCAGATGAAAAAGGAACATCTAAATACTGACTTACTTAGTTACGTCTTTTACCTCTCGTGAAGGAGCATAGGTCGCCAACCAGCACTCTCCATCCAACTCTGTCCTGAGCTATCCTTCCCAGTTCTAAAATATTGACTTACTTAAATTTATACATAAAAACGCCGGCTCACAAATATAAGTCAACCTAAAGAGAGAACATTTCACGTGGAAAAAATTTCAGGTTGTAAAAGTTAACCTCTGTTAACTTTACGTATATAATTTAGTCAATTTTGCACATTTGTGACGTCCATTCAGGCTCCTATCACCCTGTAGATCTTTTAACTTCAACTGAAGAACACAATTAACTTCATTAATATCAGAAGCAAATGAAAAATCCAGTAAATTATACTGTGATTCACGTGTTTTGAAATACTTAAAACATCGTGGAAATTTATAATTGAGCGCTGAAATCTGGCGATTGTATTCCTGATCAGTTTCCAATGAAATCATTTGTGTGGTTAATGTTAGGAACTGACTATAGTTAAATTCCTCAAGTTGCTTAGTTAGTAAATCAAGTTTAATTTTAAACACCATTTCCTGAAACTCTAGTATAAATACCATGTTTCTCTAGTACGATTTCACTTCTGACCATTTCTATGCATAATTCCAAATGACTTCAAAAAAGATTTGCGGTCTTCATGCTTTAGTTTTCCCACCTCTGACGCATAACAATCAACCGTGCAGAATACTATTGACGATAAATTAAAAATTAATTGGAAACGGTCATACAACCTTCATATGAACATTCAAAATAAAAGCATAGGCAATAAAATTAGTAATTGATGTGCATCCATTCCAACACTTTCAGCCAGTGGGCTAATCAACATACGCTGAATGAGAATGCTGTGTTGTGCCAATCAAAAATCTCCTAATGACAAGCGCATGTTGGCCAAGAATCGGATTCACTGAGTAGATATGTTTATATAAATGAGTCCTTATGTATTTCATTTGGTTTACTCCAATAAACTCCCTCATTTACTTTTAGTTTTCTCACTCAGCAGCTTGTTGAGGGCTTGTATAAAAGAATTTCGTGTATCAGTATCACGCTTGGACGCCGCATGACAACAATAACGTTTTTCACGTCTATAATTGATGGGCACAAACTTTTCATATAAATAATCCCTTCTAGCTGCTTTGACGCATAATTTTATATTTTGCCCACCTCTGATTTAAAGTGGTTCAACTAGAAGAAATGAATGTCCTATTCTAATATGAAGGCGTTCAGACTTTCCTCTTTTATTTTAAATTTTCGAATGATTTTATTTCACACGAAACAGCAATCTTTTTTCAAATTATTCGAGTAAAATCTTCATATTTATTACTAACAGTTGCGGCACGAACCAACTACAAAATACAACCAGTCTTGACAATTTATATGAAGGTGATCGTATTTCGGTGCATTCAACGGCTTCAAGTTCAAACGACGTAAATGTTCTCATTGTTTCCTTTATTACATTAAATTCCATTTTATTTTTCTTGGAATATATATAATAGCTTCAATAATTTAAAGTAAGATAAATCATTAATAGTGTATTGTGAGTACAAATTTTTGTACTCCACCTTAAGCCGTAACTTCTTTATGTATGGATAGTAGTGATTTCAGGTTTCTCAAATTTAATTGTTGATAACTGAGTGTTTTAATTACTTGCCATCCGCTCTTTCAAAATCAACTGCCATACTCGCATTGCATTTTATAATGGATGGTTGTCTTTTCTTCTAGTGGTAATATTTAACCATGTATAGTCTGGAAGAGCTATCGAGTTTCATGTTGCTCTGTATAGTTTTGTATGATTAGTAATTCTGGAGTTGACAAAAGGCATGAATCGTGTTGTAAAATAACATATTTGTTACTCAAAACACACATACTCTAAGAGATCTTTTCTGTCAGCATTTATAAATCTAATTTTATTACAAAAGATGAATTAAAGTGAACTACATTCGTCTACTGATAATCTTGTATGATAACTTAAAAGCTGTCTGGTGTTCCGTACAAAATCGGTTTAAATGAATTTATCAGAATGTTAGCATGTAGTCTTTCCATATATCTTTATTTTGCCTACGATTATAATAGTGGTTTGCAGTTTAACAATCTGTTAGCATTGTAACTCACTAGTCCAGTGTTTGCACATATTGCAATTGATTTGAGTTTCAAATGGGGTAGTGTATTCCATAGTTAATGTCACCGACAAATGTAAATTATACCAGTAGTAACTGAGAATAGGAAATTTCCTGTCAACATGCTGAAGAATCGTCAGATAATTAATTGATTGACGTCAGTTAACGGACTGGTCATCCCAATGATCACTAACAACGTTAATAATAAATTGTCGTAAAGTGGATTTACCGACTAACATTTGCAACTCTGATATACTCATAGAACAGGAATATTTCATGAAGTTAAAGCTGTCATAAGAAAATGTGCTTATTATTGAGATTGGAAAGTATTTTAAGAAGTGTTCTATGTTAATAAAATTGGTCCGTAACTAAAAACTCAACATCCTCAGACCATAATTGAATTTGTTCTAACTTTCGTTTTCTGACAGTTTTATGACGCTGAGTTGGCTTTGGCCAATTACTACAATTGGAATACAACAGAATCTATTTGAACTAAGAGTCGGACGCTCATTACAATACTGTCTAATATCTTAGCAACACATACCCCAACTATACATTAAGATTCTGCACGATGTGTTCCTAAAAAAGATTCCCATATTCGTACTAATTTTGGAAAGATATATACAGGCTGTCACTCATATTTTGCCCTTGCCAAACACTTATATGTAATCTTGAGCATACTTTATTAATGCTTGTCTATGCGAGTTCCTATGTATTTATATGGCTCAGTGTGTCCTTCATTTCTACATATGTTAAGTCAACTTTTAGTTAAATTTTGTAGACTGAGATTTTGTCCATTATGCGCATCTCCACTTGTCTGAGTAAGTGAACTTTTCTAACTCAATTCATCGGTGGCTTTTATCGCCAATGAGCTTGTTTGCATGGAGTTAAACAGAAGATTTATATTTTGGGGTTCATTCATCATGAATTCAGATTGCAATAACTAAGAATTCAACAATTTATGGCAATTTTCAATTCTAATGAAAGAATAATATATGTTCCTTTTGTTTTCATTCAGATTATACCATAAAAAATACATTTGTGTCTTAATGAAACATTTTAATTCAGTTCTTCATGAATAGCAACGTTAAATTTTCCACGTAGTTTTTGTTTTTTTAAAGAATCGAAAATAATTTTTCAAAGAATTCTCAACGAAAGAACCATTAATAAAATGATCATAGCATTAACATCGATTATTAAGTCTAATTCTGTCATTTAAAGTTACTGTGCATAATACCCCGTATCAAATGAGATTCTAAAACACCTTTACCTAACGTGCAAGAAAAAGCCCCGTTTAGAGGAGTGATTAGTAAACGAATTTTCGACAAACGCTATACTACTAACTACACACAGACACTAACTTATTTATAATTCCAGCCAAATACAACGAGTACAATCATGAGGTGCAACACTGATAATTGTAAATAGCCTTACCATTGAAATCTAAAACTGCCATTTTTATTTATCTTGAATATAAAATACGGAAAAATTATTATTGTCTATACATAATTCCTAACTAAACTTACAATTACACAGCTCATTACACCTATATTTTACACAAATGCGTTTTTATATTTTGTAGATCCGAAAAATAGTTAATCACCAAGAAATCATAGAGCTTGATGATAAATGTTCCTTATCTTCTAGTGTAACTTCCAGTATTTCCCCACTTCAAGTGATTGACGAAATGGAATTTCAAGACAACTTAGCTCTTCTGGATCAGCGGATTAACAATGTTCGGGAGTCACTCAGATTGAACCCTGTAATTTAAAAACATAAATAATTGACCGTCAGAATAAACTGATAAAACCGTAGGTATACGACTTTATAGATATCTTTTTTATTTGACTAAAAAAATTTCATGGATTTGCCAATACTGTCTACGTATTTGTATATTCACTCCATACTGCCCCGTTATCCTACTAAGTAACTTGAAAGACTGAGTTGAGAGAAACCACATCTAATAATTCTTTTTGTTACTATTTTGTTGGCATAGAATATCATCTTTCTCTGTAAGTTAGCGATATCTCGGACCAGGAATTTAGAACATCAATCTTCTGTGTGAATGCTACATAGTAGCATGAATATAGGATGGGTGATATGGTTCAAAGTCGACCACAATGGCGTCGGAGTATACACTGTCTGAGATTGAAATCGCTTCATAACTTTCATTCTACGAACTAATTCTTTCTTCCTGTACTATGTCCTTAGATGCAGTCTTTCTTTTACATATTACCACCACTGAATTAACTACTTCTATGAATCCGGTGTTCATCTTGTTGTGTTAATGATGTATGGCAACTCGAAACGATGCACATATGTGCCTGATCCTACGTTGTAGCTGACTGACTGAATATAGGAGCACTCAAATCAATGTCGAACTAGTATTATCCATCATACTATCCTATGCCTGACAATCAATGCAGATATTTCCTAACGATATCAAAAGAAATCTCGACATACTAGCTTATGTAATAGCAACCAGTGTTAGGTTCTACCGAAATCCTGAATAGTAACTCTTCATTATGAAGTCGATTTCAGAGGGAAATGTTGCATAAATCGACAATATGTTGTCACAATGATAACTTCCCCATCGTGGCTTCACGCTTTAGGTTTACAAACTAGGCTTCTGGGTTGTGGTAACATAGCCACCTGTCTGTGTGACCACTTTGACACATTTGCCGTAAACAACGAAGCATCTGGACAGGTGCAGGAGAAAACACAGCCACGGTTACGAGCTGTGTGCTATTCAAGAAAACTACCCAGCCTCGCGATTATGGGGTCGTTGTCCCATTTCCCCAAAGTTTTCTATTACAACTTAGCTAGATCCTTGTTCAAACCCAATACTGATCATTCAATCTACCTTAGATCGGTCCATGATCCTAATGTTAATAAAACTTCATTAATCTAAAACATTTACCTTAGACTTGACTACTAAATTTCTGGTGGGATATATCTGCTATCAAAAATGCTTTATTCCTTAGTAGCATATTTTCAGTCATTTCAATTTACACGTGTAACCTCAGAATTGTTTGTCGCATAATTATGACTGAACTGTAGCAAGAAAAATAACAGTGAATAATGCCCTATTACTAAATGATTTCCGTCTATCGCTCGCCAAATCCTTCAGACGCTGAGTCTCCAAATGACCGGTACCTCATATACTGTATGGCTAAATTTAGGTCTGCGGCTGCTAGCAGTTGCTTGCATAGCTGACTGGTTTAAACATTCATCAGATGATATGTTTAAATTCACCATGGATCGTATAATTATCCTGAGAGTTTTACCATCCCTGATGGGTTGGTGTTTAACGAAATCTTAGCGCGAATTCAGTAAGCTTAATTCGCTGCCAACTTACGTCACCTTTGGCATAGACGAGAGGATGTTTATTCAGCAGCAGTTCGACCCCTTACTTCATGACTGTGAACCATGATCATTAAGAATAGCAGATATACGTAGGTCACTAGCATTTGAAGCACTACTCGTGTTTTTCTTGGGAGACCAAGGAATAAACACTGTCGAGGTTAAGGTACTGGGTGAAGGTAACTAGTTGATGGGTGAGCCGGCGGACCGTCACCAACTACCATGGTCGGAACATGTATTACCTATGCCAAACCAACGCCTGCTTTCCCGAGTAACACTCGAGTGGAATAAGTTAGGAGCGACCAAAACAAGATGTGTTGTCAACTCGTTAAATCATTGAGTGAGCCGTGTAGGTAAGTGGAGATTAAGCGGCAAGGATTACACTGATCAACCTCGTCAACCCTTAGAACCCAAGTCACTAAATCTTGACCTTTTCTGTATAACCGATATTACTAATTTGACTTGCTAATTTCATCTCGCTGTCTTAACGTGGCATGGCAAATCGAACCACTGCATATGTGCTAGGTTAATCGGTGCATTTGACTGACTGTACCATGTATTTTTTTCAGAACTGGCAAAGTCTCACGCGAAAAGTATTTTCTTGATTAAGGCTCTTGACGTTTGATCGAATTTTAAATCGTCCCCAGTGATAACGTTTATTTACATCAACAAACAGCAGGTTAGCAATGACGAAGTTTAAGCAAATTCTTGAAGTACATAATGATAGCAGTTATCATCATAGTGCATCATAAAGCTTGTTCCTCTTATTTTCCACCCCTTGTGTCCTTATATCAATATATTATAATTGCTTGAGGATATATTCTGCAGTTGTTATAGCCCATTCAATAATATGCCTCTTGCAATAATGCACATCCTCTATTCCTTATTAAAATTTATTGGGACCCTAATGTGTCTCTTGTTATATGTAGTAGAAGTTCCAGAGGCATAAACATTTATCCAACTGTTCAACAAAGATCAGCATCCGACCCTCGCGAGAATAGTTATTTCCACGTATCTGTATCTAGTTGAATTTACATTAGAAACCAGGTGCCTCTTACGACCAAATTCAAACTAGACTTCTCTTTTGACTGCAAGTGTTCAGTCTGTGGGAATAGTTGGGAAGTCATGAGCCTGGAACTAAATGGTTTAGATTCAAGCGTCTAAACGATTGGCTCACAGCTACTCAGTACGTGTGTGGGCAATTCGTGAAATTCCCAGCACAGAAGTAAGTCTTTCCTTTAGAATCCTAATAGATACTTGACAGAAGATTGACTTTTAGCGAACATCCACATTCACTGGTGGAAATGAGACCCATTTCCGTGAACGGATTCTAACTAAATGACGTAAAACTGAGATTCAAAAACCATCTTTAGGCGAAAAACAACGTAGCGAGAACAATACTTAACTACAATCAGGAGAAACTACTCACTATCCAGATGCACACTTTGATTAACAATCAGTACGTCATTCCCCACCCCTAGGAATATTGACAATTGTTTATTGAGGAATAAAACCGACAGACTTCCTCAGTAACCTTTGGCGTCGAATCTTCTTCAGAGCCAATTGTAAGACGCGGATACTAGGTGCTCAGGTGATTACTCGGTGAGAAGACTTACACGACAAAGGTTCCGCGTTCGCTTTTCATTTTCAAACTCGCTTTTAGTCTTATAAGTCGTCCCGACCTAGCTGGAAGAGACATACGACCAAAATTACTTCCAAGTACACAATTTATTGAAGTTATTTCACTACTTAATCCGGCGTAAGAGAGTAAGGAGGTAAAACTTCTCAAGCCACATTATATATGGATGGAAATAGTCATCCGCTTACTTTCAAAGGTGTGTAACTCTAAACTGGGGCCGGCGGCGTGGTTCCTAGTTTAAATCTCAATAGGCCTGTATATATGCTTGTATCCAGGTCGGCAAATGCTCGACTAAACGCTCATGAGGATCAGAACTCTAGTTGCAACAGCACGTTAGCAAGTCGTAGTCACCCCCGCTCGACAAGATTAAGAGGACTGACAATGTCATGACTTTCACACAACCATAAGTATTGACCCCAATTTAGATCAGTTTTCCAGAACGTCTAAGGCAAGTTCGGGATGAACATGCAATGTCACTCCATGTTACTATTGACCAGACTTTGACATAATGTAAGGTAACACATTAGATAACATGCGCCAAACATAACTTTGCTAGGTACTGATTTTCACGAAGAACTTATTTCTACTTACTGCCGATAGGCTATCAGCAAGTCTTTGACACATTTAAACAGAGGTTCGGGAATCCTTCGGTTTTCTAGCTTTAATGGGAGTAACATAAGCAAGTTTGCAGTTTCCGGAGTGGTTCGAACCACATTGACAGAAATAAACTTACATCTCACGCAATACATTCTGAATCTTTACACCTTATACCTCCTAGGCTTGAAAAAACTAAGTTTTGGTGAAAATTGATGGTTGGACTATTTACAATATTGATTATATATATATATATATATATATATATATATATATATATATATATATATAAAACCGGTTTTTGAAAATACCAACCAAGATGTCAGTTATTTGAATTAAATGTAGAACTAGGCTGGTTCATCCCAGGTTTTATGCTTTTCTGGACTAAGGTTGACTATTCTAACGTGAACTGCTTGGTACTTTTCATTCTTCGGAGGGATGAGCATCTTACGATATTCCACAACGTCTCCCTCGATAGGCACGTATTCACCGTCGATACTTGGAAGCTTGTTATAATGTATGGCAAACTTACTCAAAAACATGCACGAAAATACAATCATCACTGTTATCAGGTTTAATAAAACCATGTCCTTTATCACGACAAAAGCTAATTATTTTTCCAATACCATGCTCTCCTTTAGAGGCACCTTCTGATTGAGACATGGTTCTGTTTCTTTTATGAAATATTGGGCTTGGGATAAGCATATGTGGAGGTTCCATGGCATACAACTGTAGCGGTTCGTGTCAAGTCAGAAAGTACTTTGTGTACTAGTTGAGCATGCAAAATAGCGTGAAGCCTGGAAAAGATAATGGAAAACATAAGTCTACGACGCAGAAGCCCACACAATACACTTACATTCACTACGGAAAGCAATAGGCAACAATCACTAACACAAGCGTCATATTAAGACAATTTTGAATATATTCGAACTATTCAGAAAAATTTATAGATAGCTTAACCTGTCTGTCAAAAGGACTCAAATATTTGCGCGTATCGTTGAAGTGCTCAATTATGTAGCGTGAAACTATCACACAATAATTCAAATGCCAAGTTTTGCTCAGCTGAAATATTGAAGTGTTTGTTCCTTTAGATCTCGATCTGTGTAGTAGTTAGGCTTTCCTGGTTATGTGAAGGCACGACCTATGATTCGAAACAGAAAAGAGGATAAAAGCTTGGCTCTGATTATCACTCACAAATACACTGTCACTTACGTATGCCTCTTGTTCTGAATTACCTGTTGTTATGATAAAAGAACTCTAATGTATTTGCTATCTACGTGTACAGATCACACTGATATTCTCATTATATGCTTTATCTCGATATACACGTCGAACTATAACAATTGTGATTGCAGCTAATAACCACTTATATTTGCGACCACTTCACAAAAAGAAACCCGAAGGCGCCAATTTCTGACAATTTATCTAAAGTCCTGTATATTTTTCTTATGTGTACAGATTACATATAATGTATTATTGAATTAAGTTTTGAACGTGATAACTTTACAATTATTTTTGAAATTGATACATTCTTGGTCCACCACAATTATCTGGCGAGCCTAACGTCCATTGCTTATTTTACCAGACTCGTCGGCTTTTTCATGTAATGTATCCCCCTAATAATCTTAGTGACGTCGACAGTCCTCTCTTAAATGCTCCTACCGTATTACCTCAATTATCCGGAGCCATGGTGACCACAATTGATGCCGTATCTTAATTCAGACTTCCGGCGTATGGGGCAAATAAACCAAGTATCTAGTCTGCCTGGGTAGAAACCCTATTTATACCTAAGGGAATTCGTTCACAAGCAACAAACTACGCATATGTAGCGGTGCTCTACCTATCGAAATGGCCACAGAAGTTGGGTACTTATTCGACCAAGTGCCAGAACATGAGCGTTATGATAAACTGAAAGCAGCAGCGATAAAACGCACATCAACCTCCGATGTAAAGAGACTATAGTAGATGCAGACAATTTATGATCTTGGGGAACGGAAACCGTAATACCTATTACGACATATGAAGCAACCAGACGGTCCAAATGAACTAGGTGGTCCCTCTAAATAACCAGGCAATCCTACCTATGACACAAATGGAGATCAAACGAAACACACAATCCGAAATTTCAGTTGAGCGAACTTTGGCGTTGTCAGTGTGGATAGTAGAACATTATAGAGGTGAAACTTGGAGGACTACCACAATAACCATCATAAAAGTACAGGTATTTAAAAACAACTGTCTACACAAGATACTCCAGATACACTGGCCAGATAGCATCAGCAACAACCTACTGTGGTAGAGAACAAACCAGCCTTCAGATGGAAAGTGGGTAAGGAAAACGTACTGGAGGTGGATAGGTAACACTCTTCGGAGATCATCGAGCCGCGTCACAAAGCAAACCCTAATATGGAATCCTTAAGGCAAAAGAAAGAGAGGCAGACCAAACAACACATAGCTCAGAGAATTGGGAGCAGGCATCAAAAGAATGAATAGCACTTGAGAACAATTGGAAAGGTCTACCTATGGAAGATGTTCTTTTATCCATCCATTCAGTTATACAGGTCTAAACGTTCGCATCGTAATGAGCTTTGTATATGTAAAAAATTCACTCGCGTATACATGCTAAATGACAAAAATCGTTTGTTTCGTATGGATCCAACTAGTAAATTAAGATTGTCAGGAGAAATATTTTCATTCATATGTGTCAAAGTAAGATATAAGACAAAGTTTTAAAGAGAAAAAGCAGTTCACATCTACTGTGGGTCTACAAATATGCATTCTTCATTTCAGGTTCTCGTGCAGATCATCACTTATGCTCTACAACAAACAGAACAATATCCACAACGGATGAGTCAAACATGGTGAGTAGTCATTAAGATATGAGGATATGAATTGCTGACCCAGAAGTATTACCATATGTGGCATGGGTGCATTCATCAAAAAATTTGAGATATGTAATTAGTTTGAGATCGTATTATCGCGAACAGCATTCACTACTAGAAGCGGCCTAAATGAATCCACATGCAAACGTTTTGATATTTAACTAGCTTTCTTTTTTTTCAAGAGATTCAGAGGATTTAGGCTAAGCTCATAAAATTGGCCTAAAAACATAAGGACATTAAGCATTCGGAATCTAAATATTCACGAAAAGGTTTACGAGTGAAAAGAGTCACTTCTTCATAAGCCATAAGATTGGCCTTTGTTTTCCGTTATTATCTCTCGATTAGTGTCTACAGTTTTTAAATCATTACTGATAATACCATCTACAACAATTCATAGGTATTTAAGTCGATTTAAATTTAGTACTTTGTGAGGGTGATTTTGATTTTCCCTGTCATCTTAGAAAACATATTTGACATAAAAAACACCATAAGATATCTCCTAAAGATAAATGATAGTTAGGTAGGGTCTAATTATTCTGTTCACGAAAAAACTGTGGGATTTCCTCGTTTAACGATTTGGATGTTTTCTAAATCTGACTCCATATTCCTGAATTGATGAACAGAAGGAAAGGTTATGCAAATGGATTTTAGGTATTTTCAGATAGTCGTAGTAATTCTCTGTAGCAAAGGAGTCTGTGTTATGCTTTTTCACTTGACTATTAATTGAGAACACCAATGACTCTTAAAAGCATTGGATAATATGGAGTTATCTCGTGATGACCGGTGTTTAGCCGAGAATTATTGCAGATTCAATGGACACATTATTTTGCTGACGATTCATTAATTGCTTATTCGATCTAGGAGTGTTCAGATACTGTCACGACTGAATTTGTTAAATCAGTGGAGAAATTAGGTTTGATCACTCCATGTTCTACGTTACTGCTCAGAAACGAGTTGTTTAAGAGTTTATGGGTACACCACCTCAGCATGCGTTTGTTTTTCTTCTCCACACAAAATGTACCGGCGTCTTTATTCATTGCATTAATTATTTGAGGGAAGTTAAAAATCGGCTGAATTAAAAAACTGTTCTGTAACACTCAAATGAACTGTAACTGACCTTTGAAGGACTGACAACATATAGACTGAAGATGTGACACTAGCTCAGTAATCTTCACTGACAATGTTCAAAACTGACCTATTCCAAACAATATACCCATTTATGATTTGTCAGTCTTTTTATAATAGCAGTGGATAAATACGATCTAAGATGTTGGAAAATGCACAAAATAGGACTACTTTAATGATGCAAATGACTTCGAATCACGTATTCTTGCACTATGTTTACAAATGACTTATTCCTAACAATTTACCTATTTTTATGCAGATACATTTGATGGCTAGCAGTGAAATTTTTGAACTCGTCAAGTGGATGTACCTGAATCCCGGTTTTGATGTTCACTCCGTAACTTAAACCCAGTATCAATCGCCCCTGTACCATCGCGTTACCCACATAGCTACTGAGTCTAGATGGCCACTGGTTTGTGAAAGGAGGTGGATTTTAATTTTTATATATTGGCTGTTTGAACTTTCCCATTGATGTTTAGGACTTCGATTGATCAGTCTCTCTTGGTATCAGCCAGTCGCAATGCAGAACGTGGTACGTATTTACATCGGTTCAAGTTGACACACCCCATTAACACAGTGATGTTGTCAGGCCGAATCCCAGAACGGTACAGGTAGTGACAGTCTCAATGGTAATAGGGATGCTTGCAGATTTTTTGAGATATGTGTTAATGACTTTGTAGTAATATTTGTGCGATCCTCATAGGATGTTCGTATAACAAAAGAGACTGACCAATTGGAGTCCTAAACATTGATGGGCAGTTTCAAGCAACCAATACATTTAGACTATGTATTTGTTCATCGTAAAACGGTTTATCAATTCAAGTATGCTAGCGATATTAGGCAGAGAATTCTGACACGATCAAGAGTTATGTTTTATGCAACAACTAGTACAGGATTAGCTTTCGGCGGGACTAAATTATGGACGAACCAATGAAATCAAAGATGGTAAATATTGGAGTCCGTTCACAATTGATTGACCACTGGGTGGCGATCAATGTCATGCGAGTCTAGTCCGTATTAGTGCAGATCGAATGCTATCGACCATGTTGCAGTGTAGATTCCGTTTAGAAATCCATTAATCCAAATAGCTAAATAAAATTGTGGGGTAATAGCCTATGCGAGTTAGTGGTGAACATCAGAAATCTAATTCCTAACCCCAACCTCCAATCCTATATCCTAATCCTAAATCCGCAAACTAATCTATATCCCTCTTTGATTTCAATAGATAGATGAACTTCATGAAATGGTATAATTTTCGAATAGACCTTAGTTCAGGATTGTCAGAACAAGTGTCTATTACCCGCGTAAATTTAAAGGATTGACGCTATGTCCTTGAAACATGTGAGGTCTTTTAAATCAAGTTTCTGAAACTTCGCAGAAGCATATATGTATCCTTTAGGCATGAATACCAAGGCTGGACTTGATAGTTCCAAATAAATTGAGCATCAGATAGAAAGTCGATGATAAATACGTACACAAATATATATATATATATATATATATATATATATATATAATAAGGTGTGACTTATTTCTCAATACTTAAGATTTCCCGAAATCTTTTCATTGCACAGAAAAAGTCCAGACCATGAAAAATAACGAGGTTTCTGGCAGAACTCTGCACAGAATTTATTATGAAATTCGGTCAAAATCTTAACGTCTTTTTAAAAAGGTTGAAATTTTGAGGTAACTATTAGTCTCTATGAAGGATCGAAATAAACAACACTTACGTGAGTTTTTCTTGAGTCGTATTTCCTATAGTAAAAAGCTTCATATTTCAGTGAACAAAACCTACTTCTGAACAGACAACGGTGAAATACTAGTTTTCGTATTTTGATGTGCTTTAAAAACACAAGTTTCTGTAGATTTTCTCTTTTGATCACTATAATCTTTTTCGGGAAAGGCCTCTCCTTTTTCTTTCAGCATCATTTCAGCCATTATCTCTATTTCATACAGTTATTGTAGCAAACTTACTCTCACAAAGTCCTATATTTTCTATCAAACCTCTTCTTTTGTTTAATGGACGCGTCATACTTGACTGAGGATATTCAAAACATATGGATGAACAGGAGCAGGACGCTTTCTTCATTTCATCTTCCACACCCATACCTTGGGGACAATTAGTTCTTAAAAAGCTCAGAAGTATACTTGGCCTAGAAAAAACTGAACAGGTTTCAAGGATCTAATACATTCATCGAGTAGTATAAACAAAATGTCTCTAGGATGCTTCTGTCCCGAAAATTGCAAACAATAGATATTTAACGTATATCCCATATCTTTGTGATGATTTAGCATGAACCCCTTAGTTTCGTGGCTCTCGCTTAGTTATTTTATGGTGGAATGTCAGGTCTTTCATATCATGTAGTTCACTGTAGTTATATCGTACCCTCATGTACGTTATTATGTAAAAATTGAGCGTCATATGCGATGATTCGTTGGTTTCAGTGTGTAAAGAACCATGTTAGCGAATAAGAGTTGAGATTTTGGGTCATTATTTTTGTAGAGGTCAATATATTCCATCTCACTCAGGATTGCGCTACAGTGAACTTGTCCAACGATGACATGTGTTATACTTGATCGGTAAAGCTGTAAATTGTATATACAGAGAACTTGAGGTTGGTATATGTTGGCCAACTGATCCTTACGCAACCATTAAGTCACGCGTCCGCACCAAATCACGAGTGGGTACACGGTGCTATGTATCTCGTACAATCGTTAGCCAAATTAGACCGAACGCTTCTCGAGATATCGATGCCTTCCAAATATATCTTGACAACTCTTCATTTCTGGCTTCTGGTTTGACTGAGTTGGCATACTTTGATCATTAAGGTGTTCCTGGTAAAAGCATTGTTAGACTCAGAATACCCATGACGTCTTTACACTCATAGATTACGTTACGTAACCGTAGTAATTCGCATGTAAAATTTCGTCAATTAAACGGACTGAAGGAGCATTTAAGGAATTATTTCAGCTGGATTTTCAATGTCATTCTCTAAATTTTATAACATAATCACTATCTATCACTCACACGTAACTGTGCTGCAGTACACTTGTCAGAAATTAGTTTAGTTCTTCGGACTTATCGGGCTACAAGTTGCGCATGCGTTAGATTGTCGATAAGTTTTGTGGGGTTCATAAGCTATATTTTTTTCAGTTAGTCTTATGTGACCTATATCTCAATATAAAAATCCTTTGAAAGTTGTCCTTTATATCTAGTCTGTATTAAGACCAGACGTGATAAATGTTTTCTGAATAACACCATAACCTAATGATCATAAATGATTAAACTTAATGGCTTTCCCTTTTATTTATCTAGACCACAAGGCGGGAACGCGGATTTCTAATTCTATTAGTTTAAATTTTATTGTGAGAAGCTATCATGTAACCACTGCAAATAAGATGCTGTAGTCAAGGAAAGTCTAACGACCGTAATAAAAAATTAATGAGCCATGAAATTGTTAGCTTATACTTGTTGTCAAATATTCTTCATCTAGATAGATTATCATATCATGCATGAGATCCGAGGCTTGGTTGTTACAATCCACCATAATTCAAGCGTATAAATAATAAATGAACCACAATTACATCTAGAATACATTTAGCTTTATTGACAATGAATATCATCCACAGTTCATCCGTCTTGATGTACAATATGTTTGATGGATCTCTTAATAATAATAAAACGGGATTCGCTTGTTTTGAAGTGCACAATGAATTTACTACAAATTCGAACGGCCAATAATATAATCAACAACTGTTTTTTGTTTCATATGAACCATGTTAGGTAAAAGTCACAACTTAAGACAGCTGCTATTGGCTGTGTTTGGTAAAAGTAGAATAACGGAGACCGATATGTCGTCCTATGCACAACAGGCAAATGAATCTGGTTTGCTTTATAACCTGTACGCAACCTATCAATTTTATTCCGACGAAGGGAAACCTAAAGCTTAATGGTAATGCATCATGCAAAGATAAGAATTGCTTATTCTAACTTAGTAGTCGAGTCACACCAACACATGTGTAGGGACACTAAGATCAACTATCTGATGAACTTATTATAATTAGTCTTTCTTCTGAGCATTTCAAAGTCAAACATTTTATTCATATAATAATACAATCATAAAACCTGGGTAGTATAGGATACAATGTTGGTTATAAAAGTGGAGAGTTGAATTACAAGAGAACTATTTGCAAATGTTTACACATCACTTAAGAAAGGAGATTTGAAACCACTGTTCAATCAAATCACAGCAAGTATTCAAGTTTCAAACTGTGATTACCACTGAGAAAGTTTTACACCATTTCACTTGTGAGAACAGTGAGGTTTGTTATAAATATGTAAGAAAAATGACTACACAACATTCTACAGATTCATAATCCGTGCAATTCATTGTCCCACTCATGGTTGAAGGAAAATGTCTAACCATCGGTGAGTTTGAAACTGGCATCGTCTTCCACAAATATAAACAATACCTTCTGCATTGCAATCAATAAAGTTTACCTAAATGATCGACTTTTAATTTCGTTTTGATCTAACGCAAATTTATTTGTTTCATTTCTTGTCCTAAAATACTCTGACTGACTCATCTTATGAGTTTAGGCATATCGTACTCAGAAGATGGGATTCCAAACAACCAACAAATTCTAACACATAGGAGAAACATAGAATGATGTCATTCGGACTACCTGTTCACATAAAACACATAAATATAAGAAAAAGCGGGCTTGTACACTAAGTCTAAAAATACATCTTTTGTTCTCATGCGTACATTCCGACCAAAAAGTTAATCGCAGGATTTAATTCGTATTAATAATTCGTGTGATCTATAAATTTAAAATGACACTTCATGTTCAAGTATTGAGTTGTACATCAATGTTCTGAGCGGCTTTACATCAGGATGTGTGAGTAATAAATTTTTGTACATTGCATTACGGCTGTTGAGTGTTTTTGGAGATGCAGATATTCATGAATGCACATGCCCCTGGGACGATTAAAGAGTTGAATATTCGAGAAGGTTCTTTTCAACTGTGAAGTATGAATGTCATGTTAAATCAAGCTCTTAAAACACAGTCATCGCCCAGCATTTCATGCGTCTCTACCCACCAACAACAAACAACGAAATCTTTCCACAGACAGTACAGATAACATGTGCCAAAGGTTCAAGAACTGGAATTATATCACTGGCGAATCGCTATTAAATTTGATGACACGTGTTCTACCGTTATTGAACGGAAATTCAGTACTTAACAAGACTAATATTTGCGATGTACGTGGCACTATGCAAACGATCACCCATAAACTGGACATGGTAAGTAATTAGTGTAAGCGCTGGAGGTTGGAACTCAATATAGAGAAGTGAGGCTGCGTATGTATTAGAGATATGTCTCTTGATATAAAACTAACAGATGAGAGCTTTGAGGACTCCAAAATGACCTCGAGAGTGTCTACCTACTTACTAGGGATAAATGAGTGTTGTAAAGCAGTTTGAAGAATAAGGATTATGATTCACAGTTGTTGGTTAAGGTTAGGAATAAGATTTACGGTTTTTCATCATCAAATGACATCAGCTAAAATGTAAAGACATTGTTTGGTCAAATGGGTTAGTGAATTTTGCGCCAAAATCCATGACCTGTTATCCTAAATCTAATTGATTTGTCCATAAATTATAGTCACGCCAACCAACGCTTAACAAGGACGTACAATTCATACTCAAATCAGTAAGTGACCATGGGGTACATTACTCACACAGTCTTAACTTCTCTGATTATATCTTCACCAAAGCATCTAAACTGCGGAAATTGTTCGACTTCATTCGTCGTAACTTCTGTCGAAATCAATCTTAAATCATTTCTTTCAAGATATGTGTAAGACGTATCGTCGAATAGTGTTCGTTCATGTTTTCCAACTTACGCCTATCGGATATTCTGAGGGTGGAAGGAACATGATGGTATTTCACCTGCAAAATATTTGAGACTGACTCACTCTCTGACTATAGTTTCCGATGCCATATGCTTGGACTAGAATCACTCTGGAAAAGAGAGCTCAGGTCCAATTAAATCCTCTACTTCAAACTCCTCAAATATCTTACTTGCTCCACTTGTAACATAGTTCTTGCCCAAGGCCCCATATATAAGGCCTTCAGGGTGAAATATCAACAGTTAATTGAAAAATACGGATCGAAAACTCGAGAAAACTTCTTCACGAATGATGAATCAACAAGGAACAGTTCTCCCTCTGAAATACGCATGGCAGATGTATTACATACGTTTGTAAATATTCTTGACGAAGCCCTCGTTTGCATTGATCAAGCATACGCGAATACATCTGCGTCCCACTCAGGCATGATAGGCCCTTCACATTTTTCGACCATATCACAAACAAGTTTATTTTCCATCATCACTCTACTGCGACAAACCGAAACATGCTTACTCAGTCTTTCAAACTGTGACCCTTTGCTTGGCATCGGATGAAAAAAGAAAATTATAAAAACAGAGAAAAAAGTTCATGTTATTATTATACACAAACATCATTTGGGTACATAAATGTTGTGAAAAAACCATTTTGGGTTTCGACAGAAACGCAAGAATACACAAGTTTCAATAATGTTGGCATTATGTCTGCCATATTAAAAAAAATAAAGAATAATGGTGATAATAGAACAATAATGATAACAGCATAATAACGGTAAATCAGGTTCTGTGTAATTGAGAAGAATATTGAGTTGGCTTTAAAGAAAGAAAGGGAGAAAATAAGGGAATGGAAATAAAGGGGACGTGAAATACGCATGTGGTTTAACAGGCGTGTTTATGAACACAGAACAGGAATAAACGACTATGTATGTATCAACAAATTAGTAAAAAATAAAATAAAACAAAACAAGTAAATAAGAAAATAACTTATTATTTTAGTAAGACATGGCAGTAGAATAAGTGTTTTTGTATTCACAGCTCGAAGTCATCCTTAGAAAGTCTCATTTAAGTGAAAAGTATAACCAAATATCAATATGTATGAGTCATATATGTATGGTGAAGATAAAACGAGTCTGAAAAGTTAATCTAAGTGCAACACAGATTATTATCTTAATCACAAACTCTGGAATTCAAGAATAATATTTATCTAGATAGAAAAGAGAGAGAAAAGCAATGAACAGCTAGTGAAAGGGTTCAACTATGATAATAATAGTGTAATGAATATC